TAAACCAGAACCCCAGTGTGTTATTGTATTAATCGGTTAATATTTAATATTTTTGCATCAATTTAGTGTTAGCCAATCCACCTTTTCTTTCTCTTCTCTCTCCTGGTTGAGCAAAATAAGCTTTCTTTCCTTCAGTCTTATTTGTTGCTAATTTCTCCTTCTTTTTATTGCTTGTCCTGGTAAAGTTCTTCCTTCCTTTGCCTAGAATGCCATTTACAACCAAGAAGGATACATTCTCATAGGCTCTTATTAATCAGATTTATTGAAAATTAAAATTGTATAAGATATACAATCTTAGAAACTAGATATATGTACTCTAGCACCTGTTTTCTCAGTGAATATGTCATAAGGGCGAGAATTCTTAGATTGTCTTGTCTACTTCTTGAAGCAATGGGGATGTTCCTATGTGTTTTCCTGATACAAGGGAAATGTGCAGATGTTCTGGCCCTGTAATACTTAATAAATCATTACCTACTTCCCCACACTCTGAGAAACCTATTACACAGATTTCCTAGCTCTCTTGCTGTCTTTCTTATTCCTTGGTGAGCATTGAGTCTTCTCAGCTGAATGATCAGACTTGGCTCTCCTTTTTGACCGCCTCCTTATTTCTCCCCTCAGGTATACCCCCTCCTGCCTCCTGCCCTGTCTTTCTTGGTCAAGCTTGATCAAGCCATAACTCCCTGCTACTCTTGCTTGAGAGCTCAGTACCACGTCAGAAGCAATGCTTACTAAACAGTGCAGTAGCAGAAAATGCTTTTCAGAGGGTGCTGCTGCTCAGGGTAAGTGGTCTCTGAGGCCTGATTACATAGCTCAGACCCTAATGATGCTGGGAAACTTGTTGAGTCAGGTTGAAATGAACTGTGAGGCCACCACATGTTCCTGACAATATCCTCCCCAGCCTGTAGTGCTCATTGTTTTTACTTTCTGGACAGCTTCCTTTGTGCCAATGAAATATTGCTTATGGGGGTGGAGAAAAAAATATTTTGAACAGCTGTGAATTTAAGATCTCTGCCTCTAAACCTCCTTAGGCCACAGTGCTAATTTTTTTATAGCATTACTGTTAAAAATCATCAATGTAGGTATCTTTGTTTATGTTCAATTGCCTTTATGAGTGTCACAGATACGTAGAAAATCCACAATTTAAATTCATAGTACTATAGCCTACAAACATTCGCAAACTATCTACATCTCAGATACACACATCACCAGTATAATCCTCCTTATTTCCAGGTTGGATCTCTCTCTGATGAGCGCCTACTCCAGGGGTGTCAAACTGGATTTCTCTGAGGGCCGGATCAGCATTGTAGTTTTTTGCAGGCTGGCAGGGGTGGGGGCAAGGAGCAAGGGTGGGGGAAGACAGGACTTTCCCTGTTTTTGGCTGGCAGAGTGCTGCTAGAGGCCAGGGTGGCCAAAAATGGACCATGTGGGGGCCAAGTGAGTCCTCCATGTGGCCAATTGGAGACCCTGCAAGTCTTCCTGGTGGCCTGTTTTGGCCAGCAGAGTGTTGCTGGAGGCTGGGGAGGACAAAAACGGGCTGTGCAGGGACCTCACGAGGCCTCCGCGCAGCCCATTTTTGGCCAGCAGAGTGCTGCAGGAGGCCGGGGTGGCCAAAAACGGGCTGCGCAGGGGTCCTGTGAGGCCTCCCCGTGACCCATTTTGGCCGACAGAGGCACTGTGGATCAGTTTGGTATTTCCTTTGGTATTTCCAGGCTGGCCCTGTGGGCCAGACTTAAGCACTCCACAGGCTGGGTACAGCCTGCAGGCCTTGAGTTTGACACCCTGGCCTACTCATTGCTTCTTGTCCTTCATCTGGTGACATAGAGAATAAATTGGCACCCTATCCCTGTGCAGCCCTTCAGGTATTTGCTATCACATCACCTTTAGTTTTCTCTCCTTTGAGTTGAACATACCTCTTTCCTTTAGCTGTACTTTATAGGATTTAGCCTTCAGACCACTAATCATCTTCATTGTTCTTCTCTCTTTCTAGCACCTTAGCATCCTTTTTGTATTGTGACCAGAAGTGGACACTATATTCCAAATGGCCTTAACAGTGCGGTATACAGCAGTACTATCACTTACCTTGATCTTGATACTGGTGGTGCTCTGCTGTTGGTGGGTGATAGGCAGGTGGAAGAATTTGAAGTACTCTTGCAGTACTCTTGTAAGTGTAGTGAGTTGCCAATTGCCTGAATTTTGCTCATGTGGCAGCCATAACTGAGGACCAGGTATAAGTACTATTTGTTCCCTGTAACTTTGAATGGTCACTGAATGAATGATGGTTAAGTGAGGACTATCTATAAGTTAAGGAGCTACATTATTCCATAAATATAAACACAATATGTTTTTGTTCCATAACATATAAGAAAAACAAAATGATACTTTTCACAACCATGTGTATAACATAAAGTCATAAACTATACATTGATAAATTAGATGACTATCTGATTCCATGGTACATTAAATTCTTTCACCTGATCCATAGCAGTATTACCATGGTAGTTTCTAAGATCATAATGATAAAAATGCAAATTAAGCATTTTTAGTAAGCAAAGTAAAGTAAAAACAGAACTTTTTCCATTTTGTAAGAACAAGATTTAAGAGATTCAGTGATAGAAAAATAAGTTGGTTTTAGTGCCACTTTTCAAAAAATACTGTTTGCCAAGTTCACTTGTTGGGATTGATAGTGATATAAAAATTAATTTCGAATAGTTTGCCTTAATTTTAAGTTTCTGATGCTTAATTTGTAGTTTCTGTGTGTGGCATTTTAATGTTTGCAAGCGGCTTTCAATATTTAAACTGTGCAAAAAAAATAAATCAAAATATATCCACACTCACAAATGTGCTACTACAAATAATATGACTAAGAATGACATTAGAATAGCAGTTTACCTTTCTCAAAAATGAAATAATTAAAAAACAAACCTGGAATAAAGTTTTTCCAAATAAAACATTTTTATCTCCTAGAACTATAATTCTTTTCAAATTCTTGTTTCTTTAATTATCTATTTGCTCAAAAGAGATTTCTGACCACTGAAATCCCATATAGTTATTTAAAAAATATAATTTGGTTACTTAAATCATGTTTTATGATGAAAAAGCAAGATTAATAGAAAAACATAAAGCTTTACCAATTGAATAATTGGATGCCTCTCAAAAATCCAGAAAACTGCACAGTTATAGCTTCAAAACATATGTGATATATGTTGTGCAGTTACATGTCATGAAACTATTTGATGTCTCATTATTCATAATCACATAATCTACAGTCCTGAAAAACCAGGCTGTATTTTTTTTGCTTTCAGTTAGCATTGCTAGAAAAACAAACTGTTCCACCTTTCATTATAGAGACTCTGGAGCTTACAGCAGAAATTGCTTAGTTAGAGACTGACTTAGTTTATGAGCTAATTGTGGTTAAGCTTCACAGGCCTTTCTACACACACAAGAGGAGAGAATGTACAACATCAGCATCTGTAATTAGAATGAAATATAAAAACTCTGGGCTGACCTAACTTTGCCTGAAAACTATGATCTGAAATCTTCTTTTGTTTCAAGCTTTGCTGCTTTAATTTTTCTACTATTTCTAAATTCAGTAATTTCCAGAGCCTTGAATTTACAAGAACAGACTGGACAAGTACACAGATTATCTTGAACAATCATACAAATCAAAAATAAAATGTACAATTTTGTATAAATTACTTAATGGTTTTCAAAATATGATCAATGCATATCAGTATGTACATATCTTTAAGTTATTTTGTCTGTGTATATGTACATGTGTTTGTGTATTCATATTCCTCATCTCATGTAGACTTAGGCTAAGAGTCTCCTACCTGTGGGCCGGGGCCCACTACTGGGCCACATGAGTGGTTGGCCAGTGCACTCACATGTGTGCACACCCACCCACACTTGTGCTAGCGTCATGGTGAGCGTTGTACATGTGCTTATGGCCCCATTTACATTGAACATGTGCTTATGGCCCCATTTGCGTTGCATGCATACTCACGGCTTCGTTCACACTTAATGACCTATTGTGATTTGCTTAACGACGACAACTGGAAGTGTTTGAATTTTCACTGGTAATCAAGACAGCCATGTAATGTTGTGCTTCATGTTGCTTAGCAATGGAAATTCTGGCACTTCCAGTTGCTGTCATTAAATAAGGACTATCTGTAGTTTATATTTCTTCAAATCTTGCTCAGTTCAGTTAAAATATAGTTTAACCTTCCCCTCTTACCTTCTTATTCAGTTCACAATGCTTAACTAAACACTGTGAGGAAGAATGTTTGCAATGACACCACATATTAATAGAGTAAGAAAAAGAATGGTGTGATGAGTATTTCCATTTACACTGAGCATTTTGTGCAAGCCTATGGGCATTCTTGATGAACTAAATATTTTTTCCCCTTCCACTTTATTGTTTCCAATTCTCAGAGGCTCCCTGCAGTTTTCTTGGCAAGAATTAATATAAAGATCCTGCTTTTTAGTCTATAACAAATATACTAGGAAATAATCTCTGTAGTATTTTTCTTTTGTCTAGGTTTATCTGGATCACACACTTTATATGAAGATATTTATAGTTAATGGGAGAGATTCACCTTTCTGCACCTTTTTTAATTACATTTTGACCACATACACAGAAACTACAGAGGGAAGGGGAAATTTTATTTTCTATGAATTACTGGCAGAATGTTTCAATTTAAAAGAGAATTAACTGAATTCCATTTTGGCAAGAATGGTTGTTTTCTAATAAAAGCAGCAACATAACTATATCTTTCTCTGTTTGTTTGGGGGACCTTTCTCCAGATAGTTTTTACAATTATGTTAGGCTGCAGACATATCAATATTTAGCTTGAAGCAAGCATAATGTAACAGGACTTCAAAGTAAGGGTTAGGTTTTAACGTTTAATTGAGTGCAGTCCAAAGCTGGTTAGATGATAAGCAGCAATATAAATGTTTTAAATTAATTAATACGATTAAATAAAATACATATGTGTTTTTAGATGACAGTGCTTCTGCTGCCAGTAGCATGGAGGTGACAGACCGCATAGCTTCACTTGAACAACGTGTTCAGATGCAAGAAGACGACATTCAGTTGCTCAAGTCCGCTCTGGCAGATGTCGTTAGGCGTTTAAATATTACTGAGGAGCAACAGGCCATGCAGAACAGGAAAGGACCTACCAAAGGTATTAACTTCCCATTCAAGTTCACCTGTATATGTTATAATGAAAATATTTTAACCAGTTATTATGATGAGATAATTATCTGAGAATATTTCTTGCATAATATTTTTCTGAGTTGGATAGTTATTGGTTTAATGTGAATATTGAATTTAATGTATACTTTAAAAAAGTTTCTAAGAAGTGTACCCAGATAAGTATTTTTCAAATTTCTAATCAGGTCTCAGGTTACTTTTCTGTTAAATTTAACTGGAATTCATTCTATTAATATTTCTGTTTTTTATGAATATTAGCTAATGTTCATCTGTCTGAATATTTTTGGTTGTGTTAATGAATGCAAAGAATGTAAGTTAAAGTATACCAATTTTTTCTGTGTTTTTGCAGTATTATACTCTAAATATTTGTATATCATGGCACAGAAAACAACACCTGACCTTTTTCATTATCTTGTATATGTAGTAAAACATCTAAACATGTTAACTGACATATTTTATGTACCTGGTGCTGTCCTACATTTTATTTTATAGGATTAGGAAGATTATTTGTTTCTCAAAATCTTTTTATACTTCCATATCAAGGATGGGCTATTTGACCATTTAACCAGTTTTTGCCACAGTCATGTAGCTGAAGTATATAGCAAATAACAAAGCATCAGTTGTGAAATTTCCTTACCTGCTCTGTATAAATTCCAATTTTCAGGGCTAGAAGGAATATGCTAAAGGCTCTGATGGGACTTTCTGAAAATCTGGCAAATGAGTGAATTTCTGTATTAATAAGATGCAAATAAATATTGTTTCTACTTTCTACCTGGAAATGTTATATATTGATCCCAGCTATGCATTTAACAAGACATTCAAGAAATTTTGATTAGCAGATTAATCAGATTTGAATTGAAGGTGAGATACTAGACACTTAGTTTGCAAATTATTCTCAAAAGATTGTGCTCAGTGATTTCATATAAAAATGATGTAGAGTGTTGAGTGGAAATACTAGGGATTCAGTCTTGGATTTCAGCATTTCTTACTAATAACATAGATGGAGAAGTTATCAGATTTGCAGATGATACAATTGGGTGGAATCATTAAGAGTTTAGAAGATTAAAAAGGTGAAATGGTCTCAATAAATCAAAGAAATGGTCTGAAAATAGCAAACCAACTTCTTAAAAATGCTATGTTTTATCTTTTAAAAAAGAAAGAAATGTACAGATATAGAATGGAAGGTTCAGTCCTTATAAGGATTTTCCAATAGTAATAAATTACAAATTGAAAATATATATATATATATATATCTCCAGTTGCCACAAGAGAATTTTCCAAATAATGGGTTGTCATATTTCCACTTTATTCTGCAATAATCAGGTCTTACTTCAAGTATTGTGTGCACTTCTGAATTTGTAAATTTCAGCATTTATTTATTTGTTTGGTTATTTATTTATTTATTTATTTTCATTTCACAGCAAGACCACTAGTTCAAACACTGCCTTTAAAGATTACTGTCAATAATGGAACTGTCTTACCAAAGAAATCTAGTGGTTCTCTACCTTCTCCATCAGGAACCAGGAAAGAAATTGTATCACCAGCAGCAAAAAGGTATTATCAAGTTGTTAATATACTGCTTATCTTCAGTTTTAAAATTATTGCATGTTTCCCTCTCTCTCAGTAATATTTTATATAAAGTAATAAGAGCCTCTGGTGCAGTGGTTAAAATGCAGTACTGCAAGCTACCTTTGCAGCCAGCTGCCTACAGTTTGGCAGTTCAAATCCCACCAGGCTCAAGGTTGACTCAGCCTTCAATCTTTCCGAGGTGGGTAAAATGAGGACCCAGATTGTTGGGGGCAATATGCTGATACTGTAAACTGCTTAGAGAGGGCTGCAAAGCACTATAAAGTGGTATATAAGTCTAAGTGCTATTGCTATTTTCAGTCAATGGCTTAGTACCAATCTTAACTCATTTTCTGACTGTCTTCTAAAAAGTAATATAACAAACATAATTTTGTTAATAATAAGAATCATTGTATTAATGAGATGATGTATTAGACTATTTTCAGATGTTTTATTTGTGTTTAATTCTTTCACTATCGAGTACCATAGAAAATATATTAATGTTGTTAGCATGGGAAAAGACTGTAAATACTTACATCCACTAATAGACCAGTAAAAAGGAGAGTGAAGGCTAGGGTACCCATAACTTTCTCATTATAATAAACTTACCTACTCTGAATTATTTACTTTTTCTTTTTTGGTTTTGTTATAACAAAAGGATTGGAAATTTTATTTTATTCACAGTGCTTTAATTATTTTTTTCCTCAATGTTTTTTATTTAAGTCATTTTATATCTATTTTTTTTTATTTCAAATAGTTTTACAAAAACATTTATACTGTATCAGATTTTGATAGGTAAAATTACAAGCCATTTTCAAGTTATAGCTGAAGCCCATCAACAGCTCTTATTTTTGAGAATCATATTATCATACAGAATTTGGATTAGATATACTTCAGTTTCTTGGAAGGAAAAGTATGTTGGAACTGCAACTAAATTGTAAAAGAGTGATATGTTCCTCGTTAACTGATAATATTGGCAGCATGAATATATTCAAATGTGATTGCCAGTTGAATCATTTAGGAGTGTATTCAGGTGACTTCAAGGCTCTAGGGAGAGCCTGACCCCTATTGGCCACTTTGGGGAGTGTAAGCATGCTCCCTTCCCTGAGATTCTGAGCAGTTTTCCATCTCACCATGCTCTCTTCCAGTGATAACTTTTGTTTGCTAGAGATGTTTTGACTGTGGGTTTACCTTCTTTTAAACTCTTTTAAAGCAATCCGAACAGATTGCTGTACAGTAGAATAGGTGAGCAAAAGTGCTTATCTCATTTAACTGGGCAGCTCACTCTGCCTGGTACCCAGCAACTGATCTGTGGATGATAGTGGAGTAGAACATGCTATATAAAGAGAACCACATCTATTTTATGAACCCCTGTCCGAGTTTCTACTTCAGATAACATATCATAGTAAGATTTGCCTTCAGTTTTGCTAGAAAGATATAGCTAACCTTTTTGAATGTGTCATTTATTAGCAAAGAGTGCATTTTAGACTTGTATCACATAGCTACATGCATTCTATACTAGCGTCCATCTCCCCAAAGTTTAAAAAAACCAGTATCTGTGACTAATACTAATTCCACAAATCAATTTGCAGATTTTTCGGTTTCTACTAATTGAGGAAATGGCAAACATCTATGTTGTGCAGTAACCATTATTTCATGATAGTAGTAAGTTATGTTCATTTTTCACCCTGTCTAGGAGCTTCTAATATCTCACTAGATATTCCCAACAAATTTGTTTACTGTTACAATAATCAAGATGATGAATTTTAATGACAACATCAAATATGCATTTGTGCAATGAAAACAAGGAAAATTGACAGTAATTACAGATACATTTCAGACTTCTTAGGCATGCTGTAATTTAATATAGCAATCACTTCTACGCAGTGTTGTCCAGTATTGGATGAAACAAGTTTGTGCAACAATTCCTTTATACATGTGCATATTCATATACAGTAGTATAAAATTAAGAATGCAACTTCTGTCCTGTCCTGTATGTGAATGGGACAGAGAGAAAGAAAGCGGGGAAGAGATGTTAAATTACTGCATCCGTACTCTCAGTATCATAATAAAGAAGAGAACAAGTTTGCCTATACTATCTCCAGCATGTCCAGATTCAGGGGTGTGCTCTTAGGCCTTAAAGTAATTAGGTTTTGCCTCAGTTTTTGTAGAATTGTGCATATGGCCAAATCCATCATTTCCCATTTGTAAGTCAAGGAACGCAAACAAATTGCATATGTGCTGGATTTTTTTGTGTGTAAATTGGGTCAAAGAGGAAAAAAAATAAAGGAATAAAGGTTTGGCTACTAAAATAAAAGTCAGCGAAATAATTTCACTCTTTATGAAGAGAATAACTTACATTTTATTTTTATTTTATTTTATTTGGAAATTTGTATTGCCACCTAGTCTCACATGACGACTCAAGGTGGCTTACAAGAATATAAAACCTCATATAAAAACAATAAAATTAATAAAAGAGAAAATCATATAATTAATTAATAAAATATAATATATAATAAAATAACCTCCCAACCCCCGTCCTGGCAACAACATATCACATGAGCCATCGAATGGACTCCATCCCATTCTGCGATCCCCAGCCCACTGGCAGAACCAGATCTTCAGTGCCTTCGGGAAAAGTGTTCGAGTAGGGGCCATTCTAATATCTGGGGGAATGATCTCAACCACGGAGAAGGCCCTTCTTCTGGGTCCCATCAGGGGAATCTGCCTAGGCGATGGGACCCACAAACATTCCTTGCCTCCCCGTTTTGGTGGGTCGGGTAGATGTGACCGGCAAGAGACGGTCCCTTAGATAAGCTGGTCCCAAGCCATAAAAGGCTTTAAAGGTGACAACTAGCACCTTGAATTGCACCCGGATTGAATTGCACATTCATAGTTAATTTTAAATAAAGACTTGTATGGGTATATCAGTATCAGTCTTCATTACAGTTACAAAAATAATAATAAAATAGCTATTATGACTATATCTATTTTTATTCTTCTATGTATTTAGGTTCAGTATCTTATTATATAAAAACTTCTAAAGCTATATCAGATGTGTGATTGCCTAGTAATCAACATTAACTCAAGGTGGGATAGGTTTTTCATGGTTTAAGAAATATTGTTCTTTAAAATATGTCTCTCTCCTACTGAAACTTTTTAAGCATCTTTCTACTGCATATGATTGCCCTCCATTGTATTGTATTATCACATTATTTCCAGTAGCCTGTTTTCGGTAACAATGAGCACAGAGGATTAGTTTAATGTATCGATGACATATTGTAAATTTTAAAAAATGTCTCGTATTCCAGATTATATATAATAATTCATTGTTTGTGGGTCTCTTTTTGTAAAAAACATACGTTATTACCATGCTATTGTCTAACAGAAGTTTCTGTTGTACCTGTTGATGAAGGGTTGTATTGTTTTAAATTAAGGATCAGTAACCTGCAGCCTCCCCCTTTTTCTTTCATATTCTTTCTTATTCAACATTACTTCTATTACTGAAAATTAATCACATGGTTTCCTACCATTTGAGACAAAAATATAAAAACATAAGTGCTAAAATAAAATTAACTTCATTTTTTAAAAGTCAGTCCCTCACCTACCCAAAACCTGAGAAAAAATTGAAGATTCTAGGTCTGTTCATGTTCAGGTAGTCCTCAACTTACAACAGTTCATTTAGTGACCATTTAAAGTTACAACAGCACTGAAAAAAGTGACTTGACCATTTTTCACACTTACAATTGTTGCCACATCTCCATGATCATGTGATCAAAATTCGGATGCTTGACAACTGACTCACATTTATAACATTTGCGGTGCCCCAGATCATGTGATCACCTTTTGCAATCTTACCACAAGAAAAGTCAATGGGGAAGCCAGATTCACTTAACTAGTTTAATGTTTAACTAACTAATGTTAAATTTAACTAACTAATGTTACTAATTTAACAATTGCAGAGATTTACTTAACAACTGTAGTAGGAAGGGTCATAAAATGGGGCAAAACTCACTTAATTGTCTCACTTAGCAACACAAATCTTGGGCTCAATTGTAGTCATAAATTGAGGACTACCTGTAAATGATATAGATTCTCTTGCTGAAGGTCATGGAAAATTTTTGGTCACACAATCCAACCTACCTCATAGGATTGTTATTGTGGGGAAAAATACTAGGTATTCAGGAGCCTTGAGCTCCTGAATAAAAGGCAGAATACCTTTTATTATCATAAAAATACATCCTTGTTTGCCTATTCTACAGTATATTCTGCTCTCCAAAATGTTAAGTGGTCACCAGCCCTCAAGACTCCGCACTTTTGGTAGTTTTCATAATCTTCAGTATCTCGTTCAAAACACTGTCAGGAATTCCTATCTTGCATTATCAAGATAGATATAAATGTTCTTTGTTCTTACATTTTGATTTACTGCATTCACTATTCTTTTTGCTTATGAACACCTTATCCATGGATTAAACAGGTCTGTGAGTCTATTCAGTGCATGCAAAATAAAAACTATTCCAAGGTGAGGGATTTTTATTAATATTGCAACATATAATACCTTTATCCCATATTTCTTAATGAAATCAGCTTTTTCATTATTTGGCAGTGGCTAAAAAATCATAGTGTAAAAGGGAAAAATGGTTGAAGTAAATTCTCATACATCCCTCTGAGAATAATTTTATATTTAGAAGGGCTTAATTTTATTTCGTTTGTTGCTACACTAATATTTGCTTGGCACGTTGATTAGCAACTTAATTAACTATTGAGTTGGATGGTATGTTAATTAAGTGGGCACAGTCAAAAATCATGCTTAAACATGATTTCACCTGTGTTTCCTTATCAAAGGAAGAGTTTCAAGCAAAGTACAAGACAAATGTAAATTTCTTGTCTTAGAAAATGAAAATCAAATGTACAGTAGAATGTGAGTTGCTTTGTAATACTATGTGCAAAAAACATATTGGAATAATATGGTCATACCGTTTGGCACTGAAGGGCATTATGTAGCTCTCTTGCATCCTCAAGAAGTCAACAAGCAGAATTTTTAGGCTGATATTGGTTTACCATTTACATTGGAAAATATATTAGAGAGTTCAAAGATCTGCTAGAGAAATTTTACAAATTTGAAATAAAATTACTAATTTAAACCAACTAAAATCCTCTTTTTAATGCAATATTGTATATTATCTGCTATCCATTTCCAACAGGTCTAATTGCATGGAATTAGAGGTCTAATTGCATGGAATTAATTGCTTTTGAGTCAGACATTTAAAGTTGTCCAGTGATGCTATCTTGACATCCACCCATCTGAATTTGTCAAAAGGGGAAGATTGTGGACATTGATTAGTTCAAGATTTTTCAGACTTGTTTTAGGCCTAGTTTAGGAACAGAATTACTTGTGATTGCTTTGATTATTTTTTTTGTTGATTCTATCTAATGTCTGACAATTTTTTGGTGTGGTCTGAAAAATAACATTGGGTAATTAGGCTGTAGATGCCACAAAGCATTATTTAGTCCTCATTGCTATTAACTACTATATGAAATGGCTGTCATTGGTTATCTATGGATCTGCGGCATTATGTCATCAATAAACTGAGGATATTTTGCTCTTTGACTATAACATTTGAACAAAGAGAGGATGTACACATTCTGGGTGGATGAGGGCTAATAACCTGAGATGGAATATGAATAAAGGCAGTTTTCAATGTACAACCACAGTTGAGCTCCAAATTTCCATTGTTAAGCAAAGCAATTGCTAAGAGAGTCACGCCACATTTTATGAATATTTTGCTAAGGTTGTTAAGTGAATTTCTGCAGTTAAATGAACCATGTGCTTGTTAAGAGGATCTGGCTTCCTCTATTGACTTTGCTTGTCAGAAGCTCGTAGAAAGGGAGATCCCAGGACCCTGGAGTGCTGCAACCATCATAAATACATGCTGTTTGCCAAGCACCTAATTTTGATCACGTGACTGTGGGGATGCTACAATGGTGATATGAGTGAGAACTGGTCATAAGTCATATTTTTAAGTGCTGTGGTAACTTCAAACGATTAGTAAACGAATGGTTGTAAATCTACTTCTAAGTTGGAGACCTTATGGTATGTGATTTCTGGTGTAATTGTGAGTTTCACTGTTTTAAAACAGTTTATATTTTCTTAGAATAGAAATTTGAAATTGCTCCTATGACTATTATTGTCACCGGAGGCTCAAGTGACTAATGCCAAAGGTAGACCATTATTAGCCTCATTGATACGTCAAGTAAACACTTTTTGTTCCCATACATAGTATAATGTTCAGACTACTGGAATGCATTCAGTACTGTACAGGGCTAACTCTGCTATTGGCCTTAAAGGTACAGTTAGTTTGGATTTTTATTGTCAATTTGCTGTGTGGAGGACCTACCCATGCATATGTTATATTTCTGGATAACTTTGTACTAAGAATCTCTGTTCTTCTCTATTAATAATAAGAATCAGAATATGTTTTAAATATCTGGTCCACATAAATTAGTTTTCTTACTATATTATTTTATTCTTCTGGAACTTAATTTATGTTGAAAGTCTTTTAATCTATCTTACTCCTCTTCTATTTGAAATTACAGATTAGTAATTTCAATTTAAGAGAGATTTATTTGCTTAAAAGATTTGTATGGATGCCATCTTAAACACAACTCTGAGTGGCTCACAATAATAAATCATAAGCCATGAAACCATAAACCACAATGCCAAGGAACAAAAACCTGTTGCCTCAATTATCTCTTGGATGTCCTAAAGCCAGCTCCAGTTATTCTCATTCTACTCCAGCAGCTGGGTAAAAAGCTAGATCTGGTGGGGGCTGCTGAATTACCAGGATAATTGTTTGGGCGGTGTACTTTGAAAGAGTTCAGCATATACAGGCTAATGATTGTGTCTTTAATCAGTATTATTGTTTTATATTATTAGCACTATTAAAAGAACCAACTCAGCTGAAGGTGTTTCAACTGGTGGTCGGAGGGAAAGTTATGGAGATTCCAAAGGCAATCGTAATCGAGCTGGATCCACAAGCAGTTCATCTAGTGGTAAAAAGAACAGTGATTGGTATGAAAAGCAGAATTTCTAAACTACATTTATTTGGGGCTCAGGAGGTTAAGAGAAGATATTTTTTTCATTGTGGTCTTTGTAATTTAGGCCTCCTAGAATTTCAATATTGTTTGGTGGGAGTCCTACTCCATTGCATGACTTTCATGGAATTCCTTCAACTTGTTTTAAACCATCATAGCTCTATTAACTACAGTAAATATATTTATATGCATAGATCATGATCTTAGATTAACAATGTTAAAATTAACTATTTTAATTCTACCCTATCAACTCTTCCAAATTCTAGAGTTGACTATAAGTGACTATAAGTCACTTTAATGGCAAGATTCCCCTTTTCTCTGGTTCAGTTAGATGTAATGGCAACTGGCCTTGATCTAGCAAGCAATCCTTTGAAGAAGAAAAAAATTTCTGTTCTCTTCAGACCATGATGGGTATTCTATGATAAGTAAATTAAGATCCTGTGCCTTTTTCTTGAACTGCCAAACTTTCAGATTTTTAAGAGACTGTTATTATCCCTTATTACAATGAAGAATGTTCCCATTATCCCTGCTCTGTTTGTTTCTTGAACTGCTCTGTGTCAAAGTTCTACTAATTCAGGCTCCCACCAAAGAATACTGTAAACTCTAGAAAGTTCTAAACAGGTTCTACAAGGGCATATAGCCCATAAAAATTCTCAAGTGACTATTTTAAGACCTTACAAGTAAGTAAACAAACATGTTGTGGAGGAATTTAAAGGAGAAAAAAAATGAAATGCTCATATAATGAATATTTCAGTTATGAGATAAAAATAGATGTAAAATGGATGTGGAGCCAGTGTTGGACCTAAAATGAAGTACTGTGTAGGACTGGGGTGTCAAACTCAAGGCCCGGAGACCAGATCCGGCCCACAGGGTGTTTAGATCTGGCCTGCAGGGCCATCCTAAAAACAAAGGACTGGCCCGCAGTGCCTCTGCCAGTGAAAACAGTGCTCCGTTTTCACTGGCAGAGGGTTTGCAGGAGGCCATTGCAGCCCAAACCAGAGCTTGCTAGGGCTGCGGGTGGCCCTCCCAAGCTCAGTTTTCGCTGGCAGAATGTTGCAAGGCACCATTGCACCTGAAAATGGAGCGTGGGAACCTGATTTTGCTGGTAGAGCACTCAGGCCACCACAGGCACCCCTGACACAAGTGGCATCGAGCTGGTCATGCCCACCCTGGCCCCTGAGGTCAAATAGAACCCTCAATGAAATCGAGTTTGACAGCCCTGGTCTAGTGTAGAATATAAAAGTGGATATTAATTAATTCAAGTATTTCTTGAATGGAAGAAATTACCGTGTTTCTCATAAAATAAGGCCGGGTCTTTTTTTTTTTTTTTTTGAGTCCCAAAAAAATGGCTGGGACATCTTTTCGGGGGTGACTTAGTTTCCTCCCCCAGGCACACCCCCACCTACAGCGCTCCATGTGCACTCACCTCTCCACGAGGCTGCTTCTATCAGCCAATGGAAGCTCCCCAAAGGCAGAGTCACCAGCCATTTCTATCGGCCGATAGAAGCAGCCTGGGGCGAGCGCTCACGCGCACTCCCCTCACCACGAAGCAGTTTCTATTGGCCGATGGAAGCTCCCCAAAGGCAGAGTCATCAGCCATTTCTGTCAGCCGGTAGAAGCAGCCTCGGGGTGAGCGCTCATGCGCACTCCCCTTGCCACAAAGCAGTTTCTATTGGCCGATGGAAGCTCCCCAAAGGCAGAGTCACCAGACATTTCTATCAGCCGGTAGAAGCAGCCTCGGGGCAAGCACTCACACGCACTCCCCTCACCACAAAGGAGTTTTGATCAACCAATGGAAGCTCCCCAAAGGCAGAGTCACCAGCCATTTCTATCGGCACAAAGCAGTTTCTATTGGCCAATGGAAGCTCCCCAAAGGCTCTGCTCAATAGTCAGAGATGGTGGGGCAGAACTGGTCCTTGGATTCCCAGAGCACACCGGGGGGGGGGGCTTGTCTAGGCTGGAAGCTAAGCAGGGTTGGAGCTGGGATGGGGTCCCCAGAAGAGGATTTCCAAGGCTGGAGAGAGAAGTTTAAAAGAGCGGGACAGAAGAAGACAACAGCTTCTTTAGCAACCTTCCTGCAATACAAGTGGTTGCAATGGGAAATCGGAGGCAGGGGAAATAGGACTAACTGAGGGGATAAAGAAATGCTAACTGAGGGGATAAAGAAATTCCCCTGGCTCGGGAAGCAGAAATGCAGCGGGAATCTTGGGTCGTCTGATATTTACTCTGATAACAACATATGTACGCGATTGAGTTTGCAGTTGGGAACCTAATGCATAGCCATGCCTCACCCCGAAGCGGCTAGTGACTCTGCCTTTGTGGATCTTCCATCGGCCGACAGAAACGGCTGGTGATTTTGCCCTTGGGGAGCTTCCATCGGCTGATAGAAATGGCCTTGTGGTGAGTGCAGTACATGTGAGTGCTCGCCCCGAGGCCGCTTCCATTGGCCAATTGAAACGGCTGATGACTCTGTCTTTGGGGAGCTTCTATCGGCTGATAGAAATGGTCTCATGGTGAGGGGAGTACGTGTGAGCGCTTGCCCTGAGGCCGCTTCTCCCGGCCGATAGAAGTGGCTAGTGACTCTGCCTTTGGGGAGCTTCCATCGGCTGATAGAAATGGCCTTGTGGCGAGGGGAGTGCGCGTGAGCGCTTGCCCCAAGGCCGCTTCTACCGGCGAATAGAAACAGTTGGTGACTCTGCTTTCGGGGAGCTTTTATCAGCCGATGTTCTATCGGTAGTAGATCAGGGTATTCTAGTTGAGGCTACCTGCAGGGCTCTCCTGAAGGCAAGTTTTCTCCCCCCCATTTCTTTTCACCTCATGTAGTTCTAACAAACAATGTGAGAAATGGTGGGGAAACGCATGGTTTAAATAGGCCTAAATTTGGGGTGCGGGGCTTAATTTTACCTCATGCCTAGAAATCATGCTGGGCTTTCCTATTGGTGGAGGCCGTATTTTTGGAGAAACACGGTACTACAGTGCAACAAGAATTTGTCGGAAGTTTAAAATAGTCAGGGTAAGAGAATCTAAAAATACAAGCAAGTTTTAGAATGTTGAATCATAGTTACAGTGATATACAGTGGAACACCATATAGTTCCAAACAGTCTTTAAGGATTCACCTAAAGACCACTTGGAACTATAATTGGACCAAAATTGGTAGTCTGCATATTTATTAGCAATTAACAATAGGAGCACATAAAGCTGTTTGTGTCTTGGCTCCTTAGTAATTGCAAGACTATGTACTTCAACTAGCATTGGTATACTATAACCCAGGAGTCTTCAAACTTGGCAAGTTTAAGACTTGTGGACTTCAACTCCCAACTCCCAGCTCAGGAATTCTGGGAGTTGAAGTCCACAAGTCTTAAACTTGCCAAGTTTGAAGACCCTTACTATAGCCTATTAAAACATCTAGGGAAAAAGTTATTTATTAAAATCTCATGTTTTCAAGAATTTCGGGGTTCTGAAGCCAGGTGGTTCTATCTTCTGTTGTAATAGGGGTGCTTTAGAACAGCCTCATGACAGGTACCAGATTAGAGTTTTTAGGAAAATGTTGAAAATCAAACTGTCTTGGAGATTATTTTCTTACATTATACAAGATGCCATCTCTTTTCCCCCTTTTTTGGAAGAAAGGGAAAAAGTTATTGTTCATTATTATTTTTGTTTCAGGTTTTAATTAGATTGTTGATATTGTAACTTTTTATAGCTTCTGTCAGCCTCTAAAAGTCATTTGACTACAGCAGAGTAGAAATTAGATATATTAATTTAAGAGAGAGACTTAGAATGAATGATGCTATCAAAGGAGAAGAATTAATCAAAAGTACAAGGGGTATTCAGGGACAGGATGTTTGGAAGGAAGGATGTATGAGTTCAATGTTATATAAAATAATCTTTCTTGATTGTTTTTACAGCAAACCCAAGGAACCAATGTTCAGTGCAGGTAATTGTTTTCTTTTCTTTATTGTTTCATAAAAATATATAACTTTTATTCTAATTAAGAATATGAATATTTGAAAGACTTCCTCTAGGTTATTGGTTAGCAGAACTATTATACTTTGGTTCCTAAATCATAGCCTAGATTTCATTGTAGTGATTACTGAATTGCAGTAAAGTTCACATTTTAACAAACTACTTTTCCATAAAGTTTATAAACTTAAATTTTTATTTGCTATTTATATTGCTACCATCTTAAAAGAAGTTAATATTTTATTCAATAATTTTAATATTTGTCAGTCTTTCCCTCAGAATAATATGTCATTTCCTTAATAGAAAGCTGCAGTTCCAAATATAATAAACCTGGGTTAATGGAACACAATTGCTGTGTTCATGCAGCATACCAAACGTATATGTTTTATCTCAAAGACTTTGTTGACTATGGATTTCCAGTACATAGGAATATAGGAACTGATCAAGCAGGGTATTCTATGGCTGACACTGCACAATCCTGTGGGAACAGTTCACACTGGATAGTTTATACACACTGTAGTACCCTGTCAGTATAATCCATACAATCAGTAGAGTACCAATACTGTAAATCAGGAGAGCTATTTTTAAGAGGACAGACAGAGTACGTTGTTTTAGAAGAAGCAGTTCTATTTAATTATGAAATTGCAAGATCTAGTTGTACACATTGCCAGTCAGAGTTCATTGTCATTTCATTGTAAATACTACCAGTTCACTTTTTAAATTATCAGTAATAATATGGATCAAGATTATGATTTTAAAGATAGTGCTTAAATTGGATGTGTAAAATGTTCCTTGCATAATATAAATCCTCATATATCAGTGTCTGTTAAAGTCGGTATATGCAGAACAGAACTGATGGGAAGGAATGGAGGTGCTAGAGTGTGCCTCTTGAATTTCCCTGTTAAACACCATTTTTGCATTTTTAAATCCTATCCCATTCAAGAATTGACACCAGAATTAGAAATTAGCCAATGTGGAAGAGTACTCTAAGGACAGAATTGGCAGGGAGGAATGTGGTGTTAAAACAGGTTTTCTCTCATCTGCTCTTTTTTCCCCCCTGTAAATATCTTCCCCCAATTTCTGATAATCCTGGCAATATGGGCTAAGAACATGTGTTTGACAAAACAATACTTCAGTTTGGCTTTCGAATAAAAACACTCAGAGAAAGCTATCAGTTCATTTGAAGTATTCTGGACTATATAAAATATTAGATTTTTTTAAAAGGATATCAGATTACAGAACAACTATTATTTTTACAAGGAAATCCAAATTTATTTTTTACTTTTTATCATGTAGGTCTCTTTTATAGTTGATTATACAATGGCTTGGACAGAATGCCAAACCTTAATTTGTATCACCTGTACTAATACTATTCCACTGAACAGCAGTAAAACAAAATTTGGGACATTATTTTTTCCTCTTCAGTCAGCTTTTTGAGATTGTATATTTGGATTGTGAAAGATATTGGAAACTACAGAAACTACACAAAATTACATATGTACTTGGATTTTTCGTACCCATATAAATGCAAATTAGGGACATATTATATTATCTGCATTGATCATAAAATACAGCTGGGTACTCCACAGAGCAGGGTTGTAGATAAGCCTGACTGTTCTTGAATGCATCTTTATCTAGCACTTCTATCTCTGTCTCTGTAACCACAAGGGAAGCGCCATGTGACACGTTGTAAAGGTAGGTAGACCTTGCTTCTAAAATTTCATAGCTCTCTAAACAAGCCTATTAACAGGGCCAAGCAGTTTGAACCTGTAAAAGGCAGTTTATGCCTTGTGTGTCTATAATATTATTAAACAATTTTCCTTTTTTTCTTAGCCAGCTTCTTGCAGAGCATCTACTGACTTGTAAATCTTGTAGAACTGAATGTTAATGGATGTTTATATAGGTTCCTTGATTAAATAAATGGCCAAGAAAAGGGCCCAAATGTTAAAGAGAGCTTATATAACATTCCATAATCGTCTGTAATAATAGTTGCTTTGCAGTTTGGCTGAAAACAATGATAGTGCCTGTTCTAGTATGCTCAAATAGCATCTAACATGTGCCTAAATCAACATTTTACTTTAGATTGAATTGCAGTGTTTATTCACTATCTAAATTACCTTATGTGAGTGATAGATTTAACTTATGACACCAGTAAGAAAGTTGAAGTGAATAACGCATATTTCTGTATTTTACATATTATGTAAATATTTAAATGGTGTTTATATAATATTGGAAATGCCTGGTAATAATTAACATATAACAATATAGTAATGCATACATATTATGCATTTCCATTGTGAAGACTAAACGAATTTGTACTGCAGTTATATAAATGGTTTATTCCTAATGCCTCCTTTATAAATATATTCTTTGTAAAATTATATCTTAATTATTAATTTTTATGGTACTCCATATTCTAAATATGCCATGTGTTGCTTTAATTTTTGAGTCTTTTATGGGTAAATTAAGGTGGTGTTTTAGGATTACCACAAGCAGTTAGTATTATCTCTTCAGAGCTCTTAACAGCTATTGTACGTAGTTCCACCATGTTTCATTCAGCAACATTCATTCAACAACTTTAACTTTGTATTCAGTGGCTTAATCTCTGTAAATCTATATGTCTTATTATGTCTAAGATGCTTACTATATGTTTTTCTTTCTATCTGATATGGGACATGCCACTTTTTAGATCAGTCTGCCTATTGTCAGAGGGTGGTCTGGAAAGCATGTGTAGCAAAATCTTAATCCATCCCTGGAACCAGTAGCATGGTTGGTTTAAGTTAATAATAGGTTTTATAGAATTGTTTTTACATAAATCAACCTGATCTTGAACAATATGCCAGAACAATGCCTTTGGCAATACAGTATAATTTCATATGTTGTGATTGCTTTGTGTATTAATTCCTTTATGGTGTTACTATGTTTTCATGCTATTTGCATGAAAATGCAATTTCTTACATTTTTTCAGGACTTAGGTGTTATTAGAAAAAAAATTAACTTAAGCAGACATAAAGTATAAAACAGTAACACTGTGGGAAAAATTAAAGTTCAATCTTAAATGAAATGGTTTTTTGAAAACATATCCCTGACAATCAGGAAAAATCATATATTTATTCTGTACCTTTCTTTTTCTTTTCATGTGTCAATTCTAACCATTTCTCTTATTAGCTTTAATTAAAACTTAAAATTCAACTGTGGTTTTTATCTATGAAATTCTGTATTAATCAATTTTTTTAAGATAAAACCCCGAACATTAATTATGATTTGAATTGAAATAAATTAGCATTGAATTTTGGTTAAAGACTACAAAAAGTATCAGAAAAAAGTTTCATTCAGGATAGGACAGTTTTCAAAAATCACAACCTGCTTTCTATGTTCTGTGTTTAAGAAATTGACAGTCATAAATCAATACAAATTTCAATATATATTTTAGTGTTAAGTGCAGAAGTAGAGTACAATTTGTTCCTTGATGTAGATCTAAAAATGTATCCTATAGACTTTGCTAACACAGGTGTTGTTATTATATAGCAAAGCTTATAATATCCATTTGTACTCATTTTCAAAACAAACAAAAACATACTGATAGATTCATGCTTTCAGAGTTCCTTTAACAACATGTATCAATATTATAAAGTGGATACTGGCACTATTGTCAAGACACATTTTTCTTTCTTTTATGAAAACAGCCTCATCTAGCCAGCCTTGGCTGATATGTAAAGTTAGACAAATTTTGTCCTATGTGTTATTTGGATGGGATCAGGGCTGTAGGCTAGACATTTAGCTACATCCATAGATTTCTAGGAGCCAGGCTCACTTATTATCTTATTTCAGCTTTCTTTTACTTTACAAACCTATGAAGATTTGTAAGTGTGAGGATTGGTCACAAAGTTAATTTTTCACCACCATTGTAATTGTGAATAGTTGTTAAATGAGGCAGTTGCTTAAACGAGGGTTATCTATATTTTCAAAATCCAGTTTTCTTGTTAGATGTGTGGTGCATCAGCATAGTACTTTTACTGTCATATCTTCAGTACATGCATCATGAATTACTGCAAATCAAATACCAAGTTTATGTTGAAACTAAGAAGTCATTACAATTAACATTATAGGTACTGATATGCAGATATGTAAAAATTTAATTCAAAGTAAAATTTACTTTAATGACTTTTCTGCATTAATTATAATAATTAGGTTAATTCCTCAGTTGGATAGAAATAGAAAAAAGTCATTCCCTTCTTAAAGTCAGGCTATCTTCCCCCTCCCCCAATTATATATTTAATCATTATGGAGTCTCAGTGTACTAAAAAGATTTTTAAAATGGTGTGAATAACTAATTAAGGGCTGTGGTTGTTATTTTTAAAAATATCCAATTTCTCCCACATAACTTGTTAAAGACACAAAATGGTAAAATGGAAGAATGCTACATATGAATGTTGTTTGTTATGTATTTATTTTTTTCAATAGAGGAAGGATATGTTAAAATGTTTCTGCGTGGACGTCCTGTTACCATGTACATGCCAAAAGATCAGGTGGAGTCTTACAGCTTGGAAGCAAAGGCAGAACTACCATCCAAAAAGCTTAAACTGGAATGGGTGTATCCTTCTTTATGGACACACTTCAACTAAATAATGCTTATTTTTGATACACTATTTTTAAACTACATCTTTAAATGTGATGAAGAATAGTAGTCATCTAAATTCAAGGAACTAATATTTTTCACAGATGGAACACAATAAATATTGATGTTATGAAGTTTCTCATGTATATATTATCAATCATGTCTCACATTTTCAGTTTAATGCATGCTGAAAATGTATGTTTAAATCTATCGGATTAGTAAATTAGACACATAATAAAAAGTAGGGTGCTGTAATTACTAATTATAATATAAGGAAGTTGTGTGTTTCTAGTTGCATGTCAAAGGGAATTTATAACATTTCCATACTATTTTTAATGAAAAACCCAATTATTAGAAAAACTATCCAGATTTTCAGTAAAAACACGAAGATCATATACTACTCAAAAACATTAGCTATGCTGTATACCTTCTTTTAATTATTCCTAACTATTAACATTTCAAGTTACAAGCAGAAGTCTTTCGTTTTTTACAAGTTAAAAATAAATTTCCATTTTAGTTAAAATACTGTTAAAAACCATTCTTGATTTTTAGTCTAATTTTAATTAATATTTTAATATTTAATAATCTAGCTACTTAATACAATTTTCATTTTTTCATTCTTTTTCTGTTTTTTATTTTACTTTTACATATGAACTTATCAATGTTATATTCTTTATTTTGGTATGGCCTATTAGCTATTGTATTGTATAGTGTTGGCTTAATATCAAGTATGCTGATTAAAAGAGCTGTAAGTTTCCCTTTGAGAAGAATTTCTTCCTATTGGGGATATTTAATTTTAAGTGGGAGAAGGAAAATGTTTTATAGCATGGGTGTCAAACTTGATTGCATCATGTTATGTCAGGTGATGTATCATGATGTTTTTTTCCTTTACGGAGCTGGGGTAGGCATGGCTTGCAAATGACACATCCGGCTCACAGGCCGCCAGTTTGACACCCCTGTTCTACAGTATGTGAAATTCTATCCTTCTACAAAGTGGCATGTGAGCAAAATTTCAATTGTTTCAAATCTTCCAGCTCACAAATGCATTCATGATCTTTCTAGTTGGTGATCTTTGAACCAGCACCTAAGATAACATGCCATGAAATGTGAAATATATGTACAATACTACAATAGAAAACAAATACTACCAAAGTATCTACCTTCTTAAAGGGAAATATATTCTCTTACAATTTAGAACTAGAATTTTAATCATTAATATAATCATTAACAAGTGTTACCATCAGAATTGTTCCCGTGATAGAAAATGGTAAAGTTCAAGGAGTTAGGGAAGGGAGTGTTATTGTATATACTTTATGGTTCTAGAATTCCACATTATTGTCATTTCTAATGTTCAGTTATATCTTAACTAAGATGCCAGCTATGGTTATAGAGGTCGGGATTGTCGTAATAATCTGTACCTCTTACCAACCGGAGAAACTGTTTACTTCATTGCATCTGTGGTTGTATTGTATAATGTTGAAGAACAACTGCAGAGACATTACATTGGTCACAATGATGATGTGAAGTGGTAAGCCATGGAAAAGGGAAGTTTGAAAAAAAATCAGAATAAAACATTCAAAGATATATCTCTTAGTTTATATCTGATATAAACATAATTAAAACATAATGGCAGGCTTAGCACCAAATTTCTGGGGCTATGAACAGAATTGTCTTAGAAATGGTGGTGGCCCTGGATTCACTGGTATTGGTTAGAATATACTATAGTATTGAGTCTTGTTTGGCTCAATGTTTCATTTTTCCTAAAACAAAATCTCAAAAACTATGAAAGACATACAGCTTAGAGATTGAAACTAAGTACTGGTTTATCTATAGCAAACCAAGTTCAGGTTGTGGCAGTGGTGGGATTCAATTTTTTTTAGTACCAGTTCTGTGGGCGTAGCTTGGTAGGCGTGGCAGGGGAAGGATATTGTAAAATCTCCAGTCAGAGGTGGTATTTGCCGGTTCTCTGAACTACTCAAAATTTCCGCTACTGGTTCTTCAGAACTGGTCAGAACCTCTGGGTTGTGGGTATCTAAAGTAATAGGAAATAATATTTGAATGGGACAGGTTTACCCCATATACTATAAACTACGGTCTCAACAAAGAATTTGGTGCAACTGCACTTTTAGCCATCTTCATATTTTTAGCATTAGAAGACACTGTAAAGAGATTCAATCTGAACGTTTTGTAATGAAAAACAAATAATTAGATCAGTATAGAAATTGAAATAAAACAAATTAAAATAGCATTGCAGAGTACTGTAGATTAATATTTAATATTAGATAAGATACATGATAAAATAAGAATGTTTTCTTGTGCACCTCAATAGTTTTTTAGGAAATATCAAGTAAAACTGTCTTGTTTTCATTCGTGTTATAAAAATGCTTTTATTTTTTATTTTAATAAAGGTATGTTTCCTCTCTTTCCCCACCCTTTTTTTTGGCAGCCTAGCAGTACATCCTGACAGGATTACCATAGCAACTGGTCAGGTTGCAGGGACATCTAAGGATGGAAAAGTAAGAAGTTATTAGAATTTTATTTCCTTGAAATGAAATAGTTCTTGCTTGTGCTAAGATTGTTTTAATATTGATAGAGCAATTGTTGAAATAAATTCCTAATATTTGCTTTAGTAAATAAGATAGTAATTGGTTAATGAAACATATGAAAAAAGTTGAAATTGCTCCTAGGTTTCATACTCCAGGTATATTTTCAGTCTAAAACTGTATCAGTGTTGCCTTTGCTTAAATGTCTATGCCTTGTTATAACTTTGATTTGGACATTTCATAAAGCTTCATAAATTTTCTAAATATTAGAAACATGGTTGTAAATTATTTTGAATTCAGTATCCGGGCTATTCATTTATGTGATAGTTCCAATGTATAGCATTATTTGGTATGACAATAATTTGTTTCAAAATGAAGCTTTCAGATACCATTAAAGGAGAATATTTGTAGTTCAGGATTGAAATGAGGGGTCCTTGGTGCTCTCTGAACTTGGTTGTTTTCGTGCAGATGTTTCATTACATTATATTCTAGTGACTTGCCCAATCAGTATTTGTGGGAGTGATCTTAGAGGTTCTTTGTTAGGCTGCTTACTGTTTCTGAAATGTTCTTGATGTATGGCAGTGTTATTCTTTTTAGAGCTTGGTTGTGCTGTATTGGGTCGAGTGGTCAGACACTTTTTGATAAAGTTGCATGGATATCCATTTTGTTGGAATATGGTGTATAGATGCTCCGTTTCCTTTTTCTGCTGTTCAGGATTGCTGCAGTGAGTTTGTGCTAGTCTAAATAAAGTTCTTACGCAGCTTCTCTTGTGGGAGGTTGGATTGTGCTTTGATGGTGGAGCACTTGGATGGTGTGGGTAGTTCTTCTGTACACTTGTGTTTCTTGTTTGCCTTTCTGGTCTCTGCTGGTCAGGATGTCCAGGAAGGGTAGTGAGTTGCTGCTTTCCTCTTTTCTGGTAAACCAGAGTCTTTTGAAAGTGTTGTTGATGGTCCTACAGGTGTTCTCTGATTGATCCTTTTTTATTATGGTGATGTGTTGTCTATATCAGTGGTCCACAACCCCCAGGCCATACTCTACTACCAGGCTATGGCCTCTTCAGAGTTGGATCACATGAGTGGCTGGTTGGAGCGTGTGCAGTCTGTGCACAGTTCAACTTGTGCAAGTGGTGTGCCAGCGGGCACTCGGGCATGTGCATGTCGGTCTGCTGCTCGCATAAGGGATTCCATTATACAGTACTTACATTCTATTTCTGGGCTTTCCACAGCTATCTGGTTTGTCATTTTAATTACATAACATGGGTTTAATTCTTAAATTGGATACAATGTAAAATAGTTTCCTTGAAAATGTTTAAAAAGATGCATTAAGATCTGGTGAATTAGCCCATTGCACTAACTTCAGTCATCAGTATATAAATATTTTCTATCTCCTGTACAAGTTGTAGTTGAGGCTTAAATTTACAAAGATTGCTCTCTAGTGGTCCTGTAAATGCATTGCATGTATATATTATATGAAAATATGTTTGTATGTCAAATTAGAATCATACAAGGGCACTCAAAATGCAGATTGGGTCTGCAATTAATCATAATTTGTAAGAACATTTCTTTATGACTAAGTTGTTAATCTATAAGGTTATTCAATTTTTAAAAATATTATTTTATCATTTTGAAGATTTTATACAATTTATAGATAAGAATGGCAAGCCACTTCTGAAGGTTTGCCAAGAAAATTGCATGGATTTGTCCAGGCAGTTGTTAAGAGTCAACACTGACTTGAAGGTCTCGCCCACACAAAAAAGTATATATAATTAGTTTTACTATAACAAGAAAATAGAGAAAGCATTTATATAAAACTTTAGAATTTTCATATTATGGAAAGAGACACAATATATTCATCAATTCAAATAGATTCCTATTAATTTTAGACAACTCATATTCCCCTCCTCCAGTGCCCTCCAAAAATACCAGGGACCCTTCTCTCTTCCCAATAATTCGAGCACCATAATGTTAGAATATTGATAATTCTTCACGTGTATACTTTGAATATTTTTCAAGGTTAGATTTTTTGATAATGCATTTGCTTTATTCCCATTAGGACTTTGGATTGCTTCAATGCATATGGGAGTGTAGCGCCAGTTTGCAATTCTGAAATAAGAATGTGCTTGATTAAAGAGTTGCAAGTAGGTGCTACTCTTCATGCATTCTAAAACATCTTTTTGCCTTTAACCTCAAACACTCCATAACTCTAATATCTGCACTTCAAATGAGACTCTACACTTAAAAGAGTAATTTCAATTAAGACCTCCAACAAATTCATTGCACTAATTATAGCCTCTGCCATTTGAACTGTAGTGCTATTACCATTTTCCAAAGAATTTGAATAGAATTGTTTTAGCATCAATGACATTGGATCACTGAAAACATGGGAATATTATGAGGCGATTAATGGCCCCTCAAGCTGACCAAAATACAGAAATCCTCAGTCAGTGCCTTCTTCTCCAACTACATAAATTTATGGAATAACCAAATAATCCCATTACTGCTCTACACAAAAACAGGGAAAATTAAGTTCTAAACACCACTTCCATTTTTTGACTGCATGTATATGTTTGACTGTTTTGCAAAAAAATGAGGTTTGATTATGAAGGAAAAGTGCAAAATATCAAGATGTTATTTTCCTGGCATAAATATTTCTATTAAAAGTAGTGATGATGATATGGAACCATAGCTTTTAGCCAGGTACTTCTATTGCAAGATAAATCACAGTATAGATTTGTTTGAACTCACTGGTCAGGAGAAGTGCAGTGGTTCAGTGGCTTAATGACCCTGGAGATGGTCTCAACTCCAGCAATTCAAGCCTAGTACATCATGTCAGGGTAAGTTGTCATTTGTCTCAGCTTCTGTCCACATAACAATTTGAAAGTATATTCTATGCAAATGGACAATAGGTTTGGTGAGGAGACGAGCTGATGCTCTATATAGGCAGTCAGATTCCTGGTGGTTCTGAACCTTCCCAGTTGTGGCACCCGTTTGCAAGACAGCTCTGGAAAAGGAGGGGGGCCTGGGTGATGCTGCAGAAAGAGCCACTCATCTTTCTCTTTGGTGCAAAGCCAGCTTGCCCTTGTGTGGCACACTTTGGGAAGCGCACCAGCATTTCCTATAACTGAGCTGGTACCTTGGCAATTACTCTGCAGTAGTATTGTGGTCTTCTGGCCTCTGTGACACCATATGCTAACAACAATAGCAACTGGCCGAAGATGGGTTAAGATAAGAGTTCAAAACATGGTTTATATAAGCAGGTAGAATTAAGCCAAGATTTTTTAAAAACAGGGATTGTGACATTGACTAAAATATTGAATCTGTGTTCATGAATAAGGTTGTCTATGAAATCTACTGGGACCTTGATGTGCAGAGAATAGGAGGAAGAATGAAGGAAGAGTTTCTACCAAAGGAAAAATAGACTGCTTCCAAACTGTGCAGAGCAAATCATACAGTGGACATTTTGCCTTGTGGCACAGCTTATATGCCAATGCCAGATCAGTGCAGTTCTACATGGGCAGGTATCCTAAAACTTTTAGCAGCAGTATGCCCATAGTTAATTGTTGTCCCTTCAAACTTTGGCATAGACTGGACTGTTGTTCAGAGTACCTCATTTGCCTTGAACTGAGCTAATGACTTCAAACAGAATAATGACTGTTGTTAAAATATTCAAGTAACAAATTGCTGTAATAATTTCACCATAGAATAGAACCTCTATTTTTTTCTTACCTTTGTTTCTGCAAATTGAAAATGTTGTGCATTCCATCTAGGATGTTGAGAATTGTTTATGTTCTGAATTCTGCCCTTAAAGCATCTATTTTTGTTTGCTCATTTTCACAGCAATTACTGCCTCATATCCGCATTTGGGATTCTGTTACTTTGAATACACTACATGTAATTGGCATGGGATTCTTTGATCGAGCTGTTACATGCATTGCATTTTCTAAATCAGTGAGTAACATTTAATATATATTTAATGTGCTTTGTAAGATTTTCAGGGCCAATTATAAGTTTTTTAAAATTAAGACTGCTGAATGTCTACAGAGATTCTCAGTCATCCAAGTCATAGATGCCTCAAATGTGCTTTTTCAAAAGGCAACTGGACTATTTTTTCCTTTAAGACAACTGGAAATTCTTCCTTTCTAACTGTAAATGTTGATTGAATTGATTTTACAATGGATGGTATATAATACTGTTTGTTTCTAGAGACTGTATCTGAACAATATGAATTAGTTTTGTTTGATTGAAATCTTTACCTAATTAAGGAAGTTTTAAATATAAGAACATAGTTTTCAAACATATTTATAGGTATAAATGTTGTTATATAATATCATTAAATAGCTATCTGTATATTTTTCACATTTCTTTACTTGATTTTTTTACTTTTATTTTTGGATATTAGATGAAGAAAGGCCTTTCTGTCCCTTATCCCATTGCTTAATCTGTGGAATTAGCTGAATGCAGAAAGAGAATCAGATTATTTCATTTGTTTTAAAATTCACACAGTTTGCATTTTACATTAAAATACATCATTGTTTAAGCTATTTAATCTCAACATTCTCAAGATACACCATTTTTTTCAGACAAGTATTCATAAGTACAAAACTGTATTTGAAGATGAATGCTATCAATCACTTGGTTTTGAAATAGCAAGCAACTGAGGGATGATGGAATACTTCATGTTTTATTTCAGAATGGAGGCAGTAACTTGTGCTCAGTGGATGACTCCAATGACCATGTGCTTTCAGTATGGGACTGGCAGAGGGAAGAAAAAGTTGCAGAGGTCAAGGTACTTTACATTTGTGTGTTGTACTTGAGACCAGCAGGATTTATTTTTTTTTTTGTGGTCAAAAAATATCCATAATATTTCGCCATCATTCAAACATCTTGTTGATATGACCACTAGTCTTGCTGTTAAATCATTTTCCTGTTGACATGTATTCTTCATTATAAATTAATGCTATGGGAGAAAATATCCTGCCTCTTTTGTGTATCTGTAAGAAAGTTTACTTATTAGTGGAAGAAATCATAAGAAACTTGTTTTGTATGGATAAAGTGGAAATGAAGAAAACAGCACATTCATAGTTCTCATTTCTAAACTGAACCAGGACCTCCTGGGTCTGTAGACACTGTACGAGGTGCAAATTTATCTTTTTTGGTGTAAAATTCACACTTTGCAACAAACCAGGAACTTGAGATTCGTGTATGAAAAAATCAAAAAACTTTAAACAATCCTTATTCAATTGTACGTGTAAGTAGACTGCATAAGTAAAAGTTATATTCTTTTAAGACATATCACATTTTACAAACCTTTACATGAAGTATTTTGTCTTTGTTTTAAATTAAATTTGAAAATCACAGTGCACTGATATGGTATCAAACAAGGAGTTCTTAGAAATTAATATTAAAATTATTGCTTTGTTTCCAAATTTAAAATATTTCTTCTTCTTCTAGTGCTCTAATGAAGCAGTATTTGCCGCTGATTTTCACCCTACAGACACTAACATCATAGTTACATGTGGAAAATCTCATCTTTATTTTTGGACAATTGAAGGGAATTCTCTTATCAAAAAGCAGGGATTATTTGAGGTACAAATGTTTATGTTCTTGTTTAATTTTTTCTCTTGCAGCCAGAGGATCATCAGGGGAATGTTAATATTCTGTTTCCCAGTTTTGCTTTGTTGTTGTTCTTTAGAAACATGAAGTCGTAAACAGAGAATTTATTTCTTTATTCCTTTTGTATCTTGAACTATTCCCTAGCAACCTTCCTCTTACTGCATGATTTTATTTTTTTAAATCCCAGCAAAATGAAATTTCTCATTAGAAACCATGAAATCAGTAATTTAATTATTTTAAAGTATTAAGTGTTAACTATCTACTTGATCATGATTAAGTTAAGTCTGTTTTATTTTGGGATTACTTACGTAGCTAAGAATAATATAAAAGAGTGAATCAAAAATTTACTGTATTATTAAAACTATGGGTAAAACTATTGGATGATTGCACTGATAAGATATTCTTTTGCTACTAAGATCACTTTCTTATTTTAGTAATCTTTTTGTGCTTAATAGGATCCTATTTTGCACATTGTCATGCTATGTCTTTTATTATTTCTTTTCCCTTTTGCTTGATAAACCTTAAAGTGGAGGTTTCCCTCTATCTTTCTCTATTTCCTTGCCATTTTCCTGAGTTAATATTTAATATAAAGATATTTTTTAAAATCACATTTGTTCGTACACTTTTTTGCCAAATATCATCAATTATCTTTCAAGCCTTTTAGTTAATAGACAGTGGCTCTTGATATTACATTGTTTTTTAGATGCAACAAGTCAAGACTGGGGAGAGAAAGTATATATACAATGTAGGCTATTCATATGGTTTATACATATACAGTTGTTCTACTACAGGGGTGTCAAACTCGATTTTATTGAGGGCCGCATCAGGGTTGTGTTTGACCTTGGGGGACTGGAGAGGGTGTGGCCCGGATGGGCATGGCCAGCTTGACATCACTGTTCCCGAGTGCTCTGGCAGCAAAAATGGGTTCCCAAGCTCAGTTTTTTGCTGCGACAGCATCCTGCAACTCTCTGCTAGTGAAAATGGAGCTAGGGAGGGCCATGGGTGACCCTCCCGAGCTCAGTTTTCACTGGCAGAGGCAGTCCTTCACTGTTTCCAGGGCAACCCCGCAGGCCCGATCTAAGCACCCCATGGGCCAGATCCAGCCTCTGGACCTTAAGTGGTATCCCTGTCTACTACATTAAGATTGTAATATAACTTTGTCACTTTTAAACCATGAACACAAGGCATTGTTCTTTTAAATGTTACTGTATTTATTTTTTTCTCCATTAGGGAGAAAAGCAGTGTTTTTTAAATAGTTTATAATACATAGATAACTGAACAGAATATATGAAATATATAATAAAAGTATATTGTTCAGTGATGTTTTATTTTATCCTGTAGAAACAAGAAAAGCCAAAGTTTGTCTTGTGTGTGACATTTTCTGAAAATGGTGATACAATCACAGGAGATTCAAGTGGAAATATCTTAGTATGGGGAAAGGGTAAGGAAAGAATGAACTTGCATAATAGTAAATTACATTTTACTGTATATAGAAGGGAAAAATTATCTTTAGACATACACATTAAAATAGGTAAGACTTTGGGAGAAAACCTTTGAGACATAATTTAATCCTATTTTTATGCAAAACGTTATTTCTTAAAATAATAGATAGGATTATTTTAGGTTTATTAGGCTTATATTATAGTATACTATATTATAGTATAGTATAATAGTACTATTACTACTACAACTGGTGAATTGTCACCAGCAGCTGGAAAAAATAGTTTATCTACATAAATTGCTTGCTTATTTTTTAAAACACCTCCCTCCAATTTTCTGTAGAGCAGAGGAAAAGATTTCAATAACTTTCAACTATTTTCATAGTGCATCTACAACTTCTAGCCCTAGGTTGCTGGCATGATCACATTGTTCTTAATGTGTAAAAGGACAAACAATTCTTGAAATCTCTTTCTCTCCAATCTCTTTGCTTTGCAAAAGGGTAATGGTGGTTGGAATCAGAGGTGGTATTCAGCAGGTTCTGACCAATTCTGGAGAACCAGTAGCAGAAATTTTGAGTAATTCGGAGAACCGGCAAATACCACCTCTGACTGGTCCCACATCCATCTATATTCTCTGCCTCCCGAGTCCCAGCTGATTGTCTGAGTCTTCTTTTGTTGCCCTGCACAGGAGAGCAGAATTGGAAAGCAGGTTAGTGGGGTGGGGAGAGAATGGGATTTTGCAGTATCCTTCTCCTGCCATGCCCACCAACCCACACCCACAGAACCAGTCGTATAATTTTTTTGAATCCCGCCACTGGTTGGAATCAACCAATTTCTATAGGCAATCTTTCCTTTACTTGACCTCCCTTCCCAGCAGAGAAATTGAAGATAAAAATATTTCCTGAGATGAAACTTTGCTTTCTGCAGGTCAAAAGCAGTGCAATTGTACCAGCGGCAGGACAGGTTAGGCAGACAAATTTGCCTATACAAATTGCTTGCTTTCTCTCCCCCGCACCCTTTGCAAAACAAAGAAATTGGAAAGAAAGATTTCAAAAGAATACTATAAGCTGTTTCTATAGTGAGTCTGTGGCCAGCACAATTTCATTGTTTTCAATATGTATTAGAGCAAACGGCTTACTTTCTTGCAATCAGTTTCTCTCTAATCTTTCATCTCCACAGTGGGGAGAAAAGAAAAAAAACCCATATGTCTGGAACAAGGCAAACACATACTGTCTGCAATGGTGATCACATGGATGAGGAATGCTGTGAAGTTTGTAGATGAGCTGTAAATTTACTCAAATGGTCCATCAAATGAGATTGAGCTCGCGCAGTGGTTAGACTGCATTATTGCAGGCTAACTCTGCCCGCAGTCAGGAGTTCAATCCTGACAGGCTCAAGCTCGATGCAGCCTTCGAAGGTCGATAAAATGAGGACCCATATATGCTGACATTTGTAAGCCACTCAGTGAATACTGTAAAGTGTTATGGAGCAGTGTATAAATCTAAGCGTTATTGTTATTGCTATTAAACAGGATAACGACTCAAGGCCCACTCCTTTAGAGATTCTTAAGTGCAAGGCACAAACAGTGGAGCCTTCTCTATTGCTGTCCATTTCTTTGGAAAAGCTATTATTTGCAATTAGACTTGCCCAACCCTGTTTTGTTTCACGTTAGCTATAAAACTCTGTTTTTTAAAGAAAGCCCTAAGAGGAGATCTAGGATGTTAGAAACCCAACCCTGTTTTATAGTTGACTTATTGTTTCTTCTTCTCAAAACTTTAACATTTCTTTAGAGTTCCTGATCAGAAAGAAATTATAGTGGCCACTACATTTTATTTCCTTCAGGAAAGGAAAAGCTAAATGAATAAACCAATAAAACATTATTTAAGTGAGCTTCTGTCCTCTTCTTTCCAGGTACCAACAGAATAAGCACTGCAATTCAAGGAGCTCATGAAGGGGGTATATTTGCCCTTTGTATGTTACGAGATGGCACTCTTGTGTCTGGAGGTGGAAAGGACAGAAAGTTGATATCTTGGAATGGAAATTATCAGAAAATTCATAAAACTGAGGTAATGACTCCAGGCTTTAAAACTTCTCTGAAAACATTTTTGTTTTAAAGAATGTTCATTGTTTTACCACTTGAGATACTTTCCCTTATTTCTTCTAAAAATATTAGTGTGATTTTCATTACCAATATCTGTATTCTATGTACATATATTGGTAACTTTGGATAAATCACATGATTCACCTATTTTGAAGAGGCCATATTTTTTGATGCTTATCCTACAAATTTGTCCTACATATTCTTGTCCTTTGAAAGAGACTATAGAACACATTCTTTGTAACTAATTATCTTCTTCGTTTGTGGGGAAATGCTTATCACAGTTCCATAGACCCATTGACTACTCACCAACTCTCTGTATAGATCTTTGAAGCTGGTGAATAAAATGCAGTCTAGAGAAACAGCTGATTTTTTCTTGTAAGATGTAAAAATTATACATTTGCATGTTTATTACATTTACTTGTAGGTCAGCGTTGTCATAACTACTTTGGATTGTAACTGAGAGCGGCTACAAATCTCTCCTATTTTCCTCTGTATAAATTTTGTTTCTTAGGAAAGAATAGGAAGAGCCCTCAGCAGTGCTCCTGGAACCCTTAAAATGCTTTTATTTCAAACAAAACTTCATTGTTTTCTGCTTCTAACTAACAAAAGTTACTTCTGTCTTGTTTCCCAAAAGAAAGAACTGATTCGGCTCAACTAATATCTTTCCCATCTCATTGATATCTTTATGCAAGCATAATAGGGTTGTATACTTGAAAAATACTTAAATACACACTCAGTTTAACTATTTCCGTTTTTTTCTAAAACAGATTCTGGAGCAGTATGGTCCTATAAGAACAATAGCAGAAGGGAAGGGGGACATTGTTTTGATAGGAACCACTCGAAACTTTGTGCTCCAAGGTTCTTTGTCAGGAGGCTTTTCTCCCATTACCCAGGTAGTTATTATTTTTTCATTACAATCTGTTTTCAAAAACAGGGTAACGTTAAATGGATGACATTTTAGAAAAATATGGCATAATAAACCTGAAAAAACTATTCTTGCGGATGAGTTGAGAACTTGCTAAATAAGTAGTAATTTAATAAAAAGTCCATGTAACCCCAATTTACAGTTTTACTGATGGAACAGAATAGATTTTTAAAGCTGTTTTTCTCTAGTATTACCAATAAAAGGACCAGATGTGGAATTATCTCCACTTCATTTAAAGACAATAATCCTGGATTACTAAACACAGTACGCCTAAGCCTTCCTTTATACAAACCAGTAAATTAATTATGCATAAATAAATTACCATGATATTTGAACCTTGAAATTATAGATTACTACATACAGACAAGCCAGGATTATTTCTTTTTACACAAACAAGTAGGCTAATTATGCATGGCTATATTAGCATTATATTTAAATGTTGAGTTCAAATATAACCTTTAGCCCAGATATAATTTAAGTAATTTGTGCCTGGATTGTACACTAGCTTGCATATGTGTGTAAAACCAAGTGAAACTAAACATAATATGCATAATAAATACCTTATTCGTATAGTGTTTTGATAGGATTTCTGGCTTAATGATGCTATGCCAACTGTTGTTGATCTACCAAAGAAATGTTTCTGTGTTCATTCAGGGCCATACTGATGAGCTTTGGGGACTAGCAGTCCATCCCACCAAACCTCAGTTTTTTACATGCGGGCAAGACAAACACATTATGCTTTGGGATGCAATCAGTCATCATCCAATCTGGAACAAAACTATAGAGGTATTTTTTTTCTAAAAAAGGGGGGGAGTTAAAATATAATTTTACCTTTATAACAAAGTATTAAGTGAGGAATTGGGAATATTTTTAGAACTATGAGCTGTATCCACTCTGGACAAGCCAATCAAGGGAGAATTGCTACTCTTAAGTAGGCAATAACAGAATCATTGCTATTATGTATTTCACTGTGTCCTTTCTTGTATATTCACCTGACATTAATCTCAATACAACGTTAATTCATCTCCATATACATTCACATATCCACCAACTGATGCATTTACCTACAGAATCATTTTCTCAATTTATATATATGTATACACACACACACACACACACACATATGTAGGTCTAGGTGTGTTCGGGTCTTTTCCTGTGTAAGATTAAGAGTATCTTGGTGACGTTTCGGCGAGGTCCCGCTCGCCATCCTCAGGCTGGTGCTTTCAGTTTCGTGCCAGTGCAAGCAGTGTGTGATTGGAGCTGCCGTCTCTCTATAAATACTGGTAGTGGGGGCTGGTGTGCTGGGCTGGTTGGCTGCGCTGCTGCCTCTTGATTGGTTGATGGAGTTGATGTTGGTATAATGGGCTGTGTGATGGCCTTGTGAGTTGAAATGAAACTCTTTCCACTTCATAGAAACAATAAAGAAACAAAACCTACAACCCAGCGACCTACTCGTGATCTTCGATGTCATATCCCTCTTCACCCAAGTACCTATCAAAGAAGCCTTGACAGCCATCCAAAACAAATACAACCCCCCCCATACACATCCTAGATCTGACCAACCATTGCCTAACCAACACATACTTCATCCAAAATGGACAAAGATAGAAACAGATAGAAGGAGCACCCATGGGATCACCCCTCTCACCCGTCATCGCTAACCTATACATGGAAGACTTTGAAACCAACGCTCTAGAAAAATCCAAACCCAAACCCAAACTCTGGCTCAGATATGTAGATGACACTTTCGCAATTTGGCCACACGGGAAAGAAAAACTGGACAACTTCCTCACACATCTTAACAACCTACACCCCAAAGTACAATTCACCATGGAAACAGAAACCAACAACCTATTTCCCTTCCTGGACATCCTAATTTACAAAAAAACCAATGGCTCCCTAGGACACACCATCTACCGGAAAAAAACACACACCAACTGCTACCTAAATGCACAATCCCATCACCACCCTGCACAGATCAACTCCGTAGCCAAGACCCTCCTCTCCAGAACCAAACGCCTAGTGACAAAGACCACCTGAGAACAGAACTACACACCCTCACTAACATATTAATTTCCAACGGATTCCAAAGAAACACTGTCACCAATCTAATTCGAAAAGAGGTACCCCCAAAAAACCAAGACACAGAACAAGACATCGGTATCGCACTCCTCCCCTACATCAAAGGCACCACAGACAAAATCAGCAAAATTCTCCACAAACACAATATCAGGACAGCCTTTGGCACTGACCAAAAAATAGCCAACATCCTAAGAAACCCCAAAGACCCCAAAGCTAGAAAACCAAGGAGTTTCTGAAATACCATGCAACAATGGCCCAGCCACATACATTGAACAAACCAATAGGAGAATAAATGCACACATTGCAAAACACAAAAACAGAGTCAGAAGAGAAGAAAATACTTCCTCCCTCTTCCAGCACCTTAAAGCCACAGGACATGAAATTAATTTCGAAGGAACCAAATTAATATCCAACACTGAACTCTCCAGCAAGAGAATAATCAGGGAAGCCATTGAAATAGAGGAACCCCACATAACATGAATAGACGGGACGATACCTCCCGCCTACCAGACATCTGGAAGCTGGCCCTCACCAACAAACGAGTTCCAGCCACAAAAACCAACACCAGCCCCAAAACAACATGGGACACCACCGCCAATCCCCCTCATCAGACCCAGGCCCAAGCCCATCCTATAAACAAAGGACAACCACCATCCAGAAAACAGACCATGGCTGCTTCACCAGCTGTCTCACCCCCCGACCCCAAAACCAAACAAGTTGACACATGCCAAGAACACAGACCCAGATCCCAAACTCGAAGCCAGACTAAAACCCAAAATGCTACATCACAGCCACCCGCTCAGGATATCATATCAGAAAACTCGGGAAATTACACCACAAGAACTCAAGAAGTTGCAATACAGCAAATGACCCAGGATATCACAGCACAAGACCAAGGATACCACAGCAATAAATCTCACAAGATCATCACACAACCCATTACCCAAGCCGTTACTAAACAGGAGGCTAATGGAAAAGAGATCAAAACACAATCGACCCAGGAGATTACAATGCAGGACCCAGGATACCACAACAAAAGAACTCACAAGCCCATCACACAACCCATTACCCAAGTTGTTAAAACACGAGAGGCTAATGGAAAAAAGATCACTACAAAACAAACAACCCAGGAGATTACAGCACAAGATCCAGGATATCTCCACAACAAAACTCACAAGGCCATCAAGGCCATCATACAGCCCATTATACCAACGTCAACTCCATCAACCAATCAAGAGGCAGCAGCGCAGCCAACCAGCCCAGCACTCCAGCCCCCACCACCATTATTTATAGAGAGACAGCAGCTCCGATCACACACTGCTTACACTGGCACAAAGCCGAAAGCACCAGCCTGAGGATGGTGAGTGGGACCTTGCCGAAATGTCACCAAGATACTCTTAATCTTACACGGGAAAAGACCCGAACACACCTAGACCTACACACACACACACGTATACATATATATACATATATATATATATGGATCTTTGGTTGTTCGAACCTCAGAAAACATATATATACACATACATACATATATACATACATACATACATATATATATATATCCTGTAAATTCCCATTCATTCACCTGATTCACTTACATAATATCAAAGCTTCCCATTCATACAATTATTTTCATGCTGCTTGTTAGAAATTACCCTTTTTCATCATGTAATACGGAAAGATTTCTAGGTATCTACTGTCTGAATAAAAGAAGAATCCCCCTTTCCCTCTATTAGAGACTTTAGCAAGGAGAATGATAAATCTTGCATTTGGTGCAGTCTCAGAGAGACTGTTCACAGTAAGAAAGATTTGATAGAAATGGTTCATTCAATGTTTCCATGTAATGACTTCCCAATCTGTTTGGATAATCTATTAGGTAGAGCATAAGACCAATACTGTACGGACAACTACTGGCATCATGTAACATGCTGAGGATTTCTTGACTTGACAAGTTTTTAATTTTAAGAATGGTATGCTTCAACTTAACATTTGAAATATCATCCACAGCAATACTGTACAGGCATTCATCCAAGCTTCATATACTTCCTGAGTGTTCACTTCTGAGAGAAGTCAGCTAATTGTAAAAATAACAGTTTAACAAATCTCACTTTATTTTATTTCCTCCACTTAATTTTCCCCACAACAACAACCCTGTGAGGTGAGGTGAGCTGAGAAGAGTGACTGGCCCAGCTGATTTTCATGGCTAAGACTTAGTCACAGTCTCCTGCTTTCTAGCCTGATGCCTATAGTGAATTTATATACATTAAAAAAGAAAGAAACAAAACACAGTATTTCTATGTTCACCAGTCTAGTCAGACAGCTAACTAGTGCCACCATGGTGATTAATAGTCTATTGGATTATTTATGCATGCTCAGTTTTTGAGGTTTTTTCTACTTAGCTAAATTGTGGATTTTCCTGCATCTGCTAATAGCTCTCTTTTGTGTGGATGGTACTGCCATGGCAACCTAAGCACTTGAAATAGAGGGAATGTCATGAGTATGTTTTGGAAACATAAAAATGACTTACTTTATTTGCATAAAATGTATTTGTGATATTTATTTGTTTATTTATAAAAATGTATAAGGCAGCCCAATTCACTCTTAGTAACTCCAAATGGTTTACAAAGACAAAAAATCCAATATAAAAACAATAAAAAGCAATGCCTCTTCCCCCCCCCCCCATCCTCCATTAAGGTGAGATTCAATCAAAAGTCAATATAGAGCAAAACCATATGAAACTTCTCAGGTAAAATGGATTAAATGTCATTTTTTCCAAGAAGATCCAAGCAATCCCTTGTAGTTTCTACTTCATCTACTGAATGATTTTCATGTTACATTAACTGTGAGGTAAAGTATAAACAATTTGGGCTTGAATGTCATTTTGGTCGACTTCATAAGAATGACAGGAAATGACAAGGGCATGAGTAACTTTGAGCCTCTTGATTAAGAAATAGGCATAACTGACACACAATATGAAGCTGTGTAAAGGTCCTCCTAGTTCTTACTGCCACCTATTCCTTAAACAGGAGTTGAGTCCAGGAACACACCTAGATTTCACTAAGTCTGTTTGGTACAGCACCAAAGATGGTAAAGTCCCAGATGCAGAAAGCCCTAAAGCCCAAAATCTCTTGCAGCCCATTTAACAGTCTCCAGGCAGCGAAACAGGGTAGGAACAGCATCTTATATAGCTCCAATTTTCTCTCTCCCAAGTGGGCTCAAGGATTTATTTGATTTTGGAAGGTTCTCAATACAAATATTCAGTTCTGGAATCCTAGCATCATTTAGCCTTCATTCCAGTATATTGACCTTAATATCCTGTTTTTAAAATGCATAAATCTATTACATAAATTCCTTTCAGAAGTCTCACATTCAACAAAAAGGATTTCACATAATTAATCATGTTCTTTCCTTATGTATTAATGACTTAATATCTTGGGAACTTTATTCGTATTATTGATGATAGCTAAAATTTCTTACATACCCTTCTCTGAGAGTATGCTGTATCGGGATAATCTTATTTTCAATGCCACAGTTCAATATGAATATTTAAATTATGCTTCAAACTTCGTATCACAAAATTACTTTTTATGGCTTTGAGGCACTTCTTTCTGGAATATGTGGAATAATCCATTTCCCTTCTGACTTAGGTTTCATTCCTTTACCTTTCCCAGGTGACATGTCAAGTAAACTGAGTTGTCACAGTTGAGACTGAGTTATTAACACTTATTTAAAACAAGAATAAGAGCTCATAGACTGTGTTTTGTAACAATTTGCTTTATATATAAATGTTTGGCTATTATTGAACAAATATAATTCTTTTGGAACATTGTAGGATGCAGCACAGTCTTCTGGTTTTCATCCTTCAGGGTCTGTAGTTGCAGTAGGAACGCTCACTGGAAGGTAAGTGTTAAATATGTTGTCTCAGATAATGGGTTTTCCTAGTGATTAAATGTATTTGTTCAGCGACTGTTCAGAACTCCAACAGTCACAAATAGTGACTTACAGCTGTTCCCTTTACTTCCAACTGTCCCAGCATCCCCACGGTCACATGATCTAAAATTGAGTATGAAGTATTTGTAACGGTTGCAGCGTCCTGGGGTCACATGATTGCCATTTGCTACTTACCCAGCTAGCTTCTGACAAAGTCAGTGTGGGAAGCCAGATTCACTATGAGCGCATAATTCACTGCAATAATTTGTTAACATCCATGGCAAAAAAGGTTGTAAAATCAAGCACAACTCACTTAACAACCACCTTCAATAGAAATGCTGCTCCCAGTTGTTATAAATTGAGGACTACTTGTATTCACACAAAGTAAAAGTGAAGTTATATCCTGAATGTTATGTTAAGTTTGATCCAAATTCATAAAGATTGACTATTGTATATGAGTTAAGACAACTTTTCATAAAGGAAGATTGGTAATGATAGTAATAGTATTTAATAGAAATAATTTCTTGCATGTCCACATCCTGAATTATTGATAACTCACATTTTAAGTATTTGACATTCCGAAATAATATTTGATCTTATGTTCAAAGCCTAGGAATACAAGATATTTGTACACCAGCCAAACTCCCAACTAGTCTAGACAGTTCACAAATAAAATATAAAAAGCAATATACTGGTAAAGTAGAACAAAAGATGGCAAAAAAGCAGACTTGTTAATGCAATTAATTCATTTATGATCTATTTACAGCAAAGACATTTTTATTTAACCAAGCTAAATCTGACTTGAACCTTTTTAGGGCTGTTTGGTATGTAGTCAATGTCAAATGCTATCAGTATACTAATATCATATGAGGTTGATTATGCTTAGTTTGGGCAGTTTTTCATTAGCAACCCCCTGGTCTTATGCTAGGTTCAGTGTCATGTAGGGCAACAGTCTTTTTGGCAGCAGGACCGGTTTCATAGAAGAACAATTTTTCACGGATCTGAGGGGGGGATGGTTTTATTTTTGCTCACTCACCCACCGCTCACTTCCAGGTGTATGGCCCACTGCCTAACAGGCCATGGACTGATGTCGGTCCATGGCCCAGGGATTGCAGATCTCTGATCTAGGGCCACATTTGTTAAGTGAATCACTATAGTTGTTAAATTAGTAACATGGTTGTTAAGCGAATCTGGTTTCCCCAATGATTTACTTGGCAGAAGGTCACCAAAGATGATCACATGACCCCGGGACACTGCAACTGTCATAAATGTGAGTCAGTTGCCAAGCATCCGAATGTAAATCACATGACCATGGGGATGCTGCAATGGTCATAAGTTTGAGAAATGGTTATAAGTCAGGGTTTTTTTAGTGTCATTGTAACTTTGAACGGTCACTAAGCAAACGGTTGTAAGTTGAGGATTAGCTGTACTAGGGTTTGTCTCAATTTTGTTATTTAACTACTGAGGGTAGGTTTTTGAGTTGTTTGTGCCGGTCCCACGATAGAGCCTTCCTAATCATGCATATTTAGGGTCACTGAAGATTCCATCCTGATCCTTAAGACTCCATCCTGATTCTGCTGCTCTTTGGCAGGTAAAATTCTCCACCACCTTAAAAATAGATTTTTGCTTAAAAGTGTGTTGGACCTATGCAATTTTAAGTGTTATACAATGCTCTTCACTGTATATTAAATCAAGAAGTTGGAGAGAGCAGTAGCCCTGCAGCCCCAGGAGTTTTTACATGTTGTATCCTGTAACAAGTATTACTGTTTGTTTGTGAGAAGTCAGAGAAAGCAGACTTGGGGAGTCTGAACAAAGGTATCTCTGGAAAAGGTAGTGGTTCCCTCCTAAATACAGATTTCTACTTGGAGTCATCCTGGATCCAGTTCAGTGATGAATATCACTTAATACTGTGTCTTTGTCAAGAAATGTCTTTTATTACATTCAGCTGAAAAACTAGCTCAGTCTTTGGAAGAAAGACTTAGGCTCAGTAACTCAACTGTTCATAATATGAAGCCTGGACTATTTTAATTGATTTTTATATGGTAGCTGTGGGACATGCTTCAGAAATATAGATATTCCGGATTCCACAGCATGGACAGTGAGTGATGCTTCCTGGAGGGACCCAGGTTACCCTGTTTGAATCAGACTATTTGGTCTGTTTGGTCTCTTCTGGTTGATGTTGCGGCAAGAACAGCTTGGAAATTAGCAGTCTCCGCTGAGTCCCATAAAATCCAGCCAGCAACTGCTGTCAGGAGACCCTACGGGATCAAAATTGCCTTGTAAGGGCGGCAAAGAAAGGAGAGGCGCTTCGTGGACCATGAGGAACTCGCAAATTCCTCATTAGGTCAGAAGCAAGCTCTCTTGAGCAGCAACAGGGACAACGGCCATTTTTGGCAGTCACAAGCTGAGACAACTAGGACCAAAGATTTATGCTGGAGCAGGGTATGGACAGAGCATTGAAACTGGGTGAGATAATATCCAACTCTTACTTTAAAGACTTTATTTAAATATAAGAATTTTTGAAAGAATTTTTAAAAATAACCTCCAAGTACTGAGGAAATGGCGATTAGTCTCATGGAGAAGATTAAGGATTGAAAATTAAGAGGGAAAAGAATGCTCAAAGGAAGCTTTAAATTATAGAAAGTCTGGAAAAAGCTAAACAACTTGAAAGGTGATTTTTGGGAGAAATTGTCTTTTTTATATGTATTCTTAAATCCCCTGGATTTATTGGAAAATCAGCTGTTTTTGACATACTGTTTAATGCTGGAACTTGGAAGGAGAGCCATCTACTGGAAGAAGAGAGGCACTACAGTGTGAGAACTTTCAGTGAAAGTGACAAATGTTTAATACACATAACAGAAGAAAGTAAACAGAGCCTGGAAAATGGCCTGACCTTGACTCTTATCTTAGAAGGCAATTTGTATATTTTGAATTATTGAGTGAGTTTCACCCCCTCTTGAAGATTTTAAAGACAAATTAAATTGCTAATAATTAAATTCTATTGAAACTGGTTATTGGACTGATGACTTGAAAGATTGGAGAAAACATAGTGGACTAATTTGGATTTGGACTACTAATGCTATTTGATAGGACATCATACGAGGCAAAAGAAGAAAAGTGACAGAAGAAAAGGAAAAAGAAGGAAAATTAAATAAGACTTTAAAATTTGGACAATTGAGAAGACAATTGGAAGATCAAAAGATTGTAAAATACTAAAGAATTTTAAAAATTATAAACTTAGGAGATTTGGAGATATAACTATGAGATTGATTAAATTTTACTAATAACTGGCTCTGTGGGAGTGTTTAAATATTGAGACATTGGAACTATAGAGGTATATTGAGTAATTTGTATTGAATTGTAACAAAATGGATTACCAGGGGATAATAGAGGAATATGAAAAAATAATTTTGATGCTTAAAAACATGCATGAAACTATAAAGAACAATGAGACAAGGGGATTATCTAAAGATAAAGAAATAGTGTAGAAGCTCCTCAACAACTGGGGGAAAAAGATGAACAAAATATTCAGAAAATAGATGAGAAATTAGAAAAAGCAGTGGAAGAGAAAAATCAAAATGAGATACAAGAAGACAAAGATAATTAAGAGAAAGGATTGATAAGTAGGAACTCCTTAGAAATTTATAATAGAACAGAGAAAAAGAAAAATCTCTTCAAAAAAAAGTTTAGAGGGGAAAAAAAAGAAAAATCTCTTTTTTAAAAAAAGAAAGACTTATGTATGAGAGTTCAAAGGATGCAGCAGAAAGAGATAAAAGGCAAACCGAAAGGAATACTTAGTGGGTATAAAAACATTAGAAAAAGTTATAAGAAACCAAGAGAGAGAAAGAAAAAGGTGATTAAAAAGTTAATAGATGATGGAACTCCAAAAAGATTAAGAGATGATAGATAGCGATAAAATATATTAATAAAATGGAAAAGTAGAAAATATAGCATATATACTAATAGATAATAGAATTTGCTATATTTAAAAGTCAGCTAAGGGAAGAAGGTGAAAGTTTAGGATTAGGTAATTTAATTGTATTATTAATATTAACAGTGTGTTAAAAGATATTGTGAATTTAAAACGTTTAAGGATTAGAAATTGTGGGGATTTTGAGATATAATCCCTGGATTTACTGAATTTTGTTAATATTTGGTCTGATTAGAAGTTCTAGATATTTGGGATATTGAAAATATGGTGGAATAATGAGTAAATTTTAAAATATTAAATATAAGTGACTTAATAGGGAATAATAAATACATGGTGAAAAGAAATGTTATTAATGCTTAAATGAATTAATGGAAAAAATGAGAAAGAAGTATAAAGAGAGAATAATTTGTTAAAGTTGGAAGATTAGGCTTATATATACTTATTTGTATTATCATTGTTAACAATGTCTTTTAAAAAAGACATTGACCCACTAAATGCACTGTCCACAAAATATGTATGGTATGAAAGGAAAACTAAATAAAACATGAATTAAAAAAGAAAAAGAAACAGACTGTTAGGTGCTTCCTGTGTTCAACTCAGGATGTTCATAATGATGTACAGAGATATACAGTATGTGGTTTAGGCCCATACTGTCTAGTCTACCCCACATTATTAGGCTACTTATTGTGGTTTAACCATTGGATACTTTGTCATTAAAAACTAATTTGACTTTCTATAATGGGATTCATATCACAAAATAAATAGCCTCTGGGGTTGAAACAAAGTTCTTCCCCTTTTCAATTTATTTATTTATTTACAAATTTTACTTAATATTTTATTTTTTATGCAAACATTATATACATTGTTTAGAGTAATACTTACATCCCTTGTAAACCAACAGGAACTGTTAAGGGGTACCAACACATACTTTTTATGTGGAGGATACAAAGTTGTAGAGGCTGAACTAAGGCTATATTTGATCTGATTTAGCAGCTTTCATATGAAACAACTTTATCCTCTTAATGTTTTTAACAGGTGGTTTGTGTTTGATACTGAAACAAAGGATTTGGTCACTGTACATACAGATGGAAATGAACAGCTGTCCACAATGCGTTACTCACCAGGTTTGGACTTGTTTACTTTGGCATCATTTAATCAGTTGGTTAATCAAAAAAGAATTTTCATAACATAGCGATTAATCTCCATAAATAACAGTTTTGCAATTCTTGCTTCTGCTGATCAGAATCTCCAGAATTATAAAAAAGTGAATTGTGAATATATTTTGATTTCTTTAATCAGAATACCATTTCAACTGAAACTTCTTATTTTTTTCATCAACTGCAAATTTGTATCATTTTATTTTGGCATAATAATGCTACTATGACTTTCAGTCAGTTCTTTTGATTTAGGTGTGGTGTCTAGATTAAGCTCTTGCACCATGTTACTAGAATTCCTTTGTAAATAGTAAAATAATGAACTGTTGTGTCAAAAACCCATATGCATTAGGTTTGTCCTAACCTAAGATGAACTTTATGCTAAATTGAAGTGATATAGAATATGGTTATAGGAAGCAGACGTGATGCGGAATCCAGAGTGGGATGAAGCCCATCAAATGGCTTGTTTGATTGCTTGTTGTCGCCAGGAGAGATTGCGTGTGTCTGTGTTGTTTTTACTCTTTGTATATTGGGTTTATATTTTTCACCTAGAATCATTAAAAATGAGCGGGCAGCCATATAAATTATCTAAATAAATAAGCGAATCTAGTAGAATTTAACCACATAGGTACAATTTCCTTGTAGTAATGGGAAGCTTGGCAAGGGCATATCCTAATCCTAATTTCACTTTTGGAAACCAGATACCTCAGTATCCAGTTGCTACTATGACTGTGTCTTTTGCCCATTTGTCACTGGTAGACCATGCTAAAAATTACTTTTCAGGTTGACTCATCGCAATGGACTTATGCATTCATTCCTTATGATTCAAACCACCAAGAGTTGCCCTTTTCATTCATTGATCTGAATGAAATACTGTATAAGTAACCAATTAATTAATTTTATATAGCTGTCCAGCTCACCAATGGTGACTAAGGGCAGCAAACCAGAATCAATAAGAACAATAAATAAATAAAATCAAAAAATATACAATATAAAAACCTTATTAATAAATATCATAAAAGCAAAAATACAGATTGCCCCTCGAGCAGCTAAGCAGGTCTTAAGTTTTCTAATATCTTCTGGTGCTTATGCTTGAATAAAAGCTCTTGGTGAAATATATATTTGTATGTTATGATTCTAGTAATTAGAATGTTATAATTCTAGTAATTATTAAAACCTCAAATTGTATTATGGTGGTCCCTCAAGGGCAGCCTCTATAATACAATTCCTTCTACAAAACAAAATATGAATAATAAAATTAAACAAATCCTATAATAAAAAATCAGTTTAAAAATATGTTTTTAAAAAGCAATCATCACAGCTCAACACCATACCCCACAAGCCTAAAAACCTTTGTAAATCTTTAAGGAGAGAATATAACAAAGAAAGTGTCATTGAAATGATTTATATCAATTAATACACTTAGATGCCTTCATTCCCTGAAATAGGGCCTCAGATTTAAACTGAAACATGGAAAAATTCATGTAGGAGAAAGGGATCTCTTCCCAGTGCCTTGTTGTATGTAATCTCACTTCCAGATATATTTTAAAAGTGCTTGCTCAAATAATATTTCTGCTTCATCAGTGTGATTACAGTTTTATTGTTTTTGTTTTTCAGATGGCAACTTCTTGGCAATAGGCTCTCATGACAATTGCATTTATATATACAGTGTTAGTGACAATGGAAGAAAATACAGTAGAATTGGCAAATGTTCAGTAAGTCATAATCTTATTATATTCTTAGGCATACAGGCTTCTTTTTGTATTTATTTAATATTCCAAGTTGATTTATTTAATATCTTGAAAGTAACAAAATATTTGAGTAACAAATATTTGAAAATGTTTAATTCTATTGAAAGATTAGTGTATATTTAAATGATTACATATTCTTTGTAATTGTGCCTACCCTGGGGAACAGTATCCCTCCCCTAAAGTGTACATGGCCCCAAAACATGGCTCTTACTCAGGCTTTAGGACTAAAATGTTAGTGATGTCCTGCACTGATTGAGGAATTGAACAGAGTGAGTTTTTTGACATTTTTTTTGTTTACATTGCTTCCAGAAAGACAGTAACAATAATTTGGGGTTCAAAAAGAAAAGAGTAAATAGTCAAGAATTTGTTGCATTTATGAACCAATAATTAAAATCATTTTGAAACTGGAGAACGAGTTACTGATTTCTTATTCGAATTATACAGTCAGGATTACCATAAAATAAATACTCAAGACAAATACAAGTTTTTAAGGTCGAAGTATAATTGTTTGTGAGAAAGATGTTGGGAGACTGGACAAAAAGATGCTGCCAAGAGCTAAGAAACAGCTTAAATCCATACTTGCATAGTAGGTGGGGCAAAAGTTTTTTAGTCACTCTACTGGAAACACTCCACAACTTCTGGTTTGTTGCAAGATGCAACTATGTATAATGTTATGCTGTTGGAATTAATACAATGCATCTCTTCATAGGGTCATTCCAGTTTCATTACTCACTTGGATTGGTCTGCTAACTCTCAGTATCTTGTGTCTAATTCAGGGGACTATGAAATCCTATACTGTAAGTAACAAACAGTATATTGCCTTGAATAAAGAGTATGTTCTTTAGCACCAAGATTCCATTATAGAGATTATCTTTGGTCTTTTAGTTTTCAGTTATAATTATCCTAACGCTTTATCATTAATATTTTCATTCCCAATTCTTTATTCTTAATAGGGGTTCCTTCAGCTTGTAAGCAAGTAGTAAGTGTGGAAACCACTAGAGATATAGAATGGGCTACTTACACGTGTACTCTAGGATTTCATGTTTTTGGTAAGTATATGATGTTCATTACTGCCATCTATAGGCAATTTATAATATTTATAATGTTGGAGGCATTCATTCATCCTTTGTAACATGTTAAGGCTCTTTTAATTTTGAGACTTCTTGTTTTATAATATGATTTTTTTAAATTGACTGTTCCTGGCTATAGTATTAATATCTGTTTCTATTCCATGCTTTTATTCTTCATAGTTATGAGTACATGATAAATTTAATAGCAGTACTACTGTTACTATTACATTGTAATCAACATAAATTCCATTTTTCTTTCTTCATAGCAGCATATTTGTCATAATCTATGCTAAGCCATAATGAGCATTACATGACTGTGTATTGGACCATCTTATTAATCTAGCTACCATAAACCTTGGTTTATATTATATAATATAATTTAAATCTAGCTATTATCATATATTGAACAATCCATGGTTTAGTCATGATATATTTACTCAGTCTGTGTTTACTAAACCTGTACATATACCAGTCTAACAAAACACCAGTGCTATATCTCAGCACATGTTTCAGTCTCTGTTTTTATCTGGGAGATCCAGATTCTGATACGTGCCAAGAAATGGGATCTGGATTGTTTTATGCCATATTTTAAGCAGTTCAGAAATATAATGCAGATATATTTGTAGTTTTGGCAAGAAGTGGGATCTTCAAAAAGTTGAATATATAAATGATTATTTCTTATTTTAGGTGTATGGCCAGAAGGTTCAGATGGCACAGATATAAATGCCCTTTGTCGCTCACATGAAATAAATTTATTATCAACTGGTGATGACTTTGGCAAAGTACATCTCTTTTCTTACCCATGCTCACAATTTAGGGTAAGGCACCAGCTATATTAGAGACTATTTGCATAAGTTGTTTTGATTAAATCATTCATACTGTTTGATTTAAATATTTTGAAGAAGTTATCTTTTATTTGTATTCTGTCAACTTGAATTTAACATGGTTTCAGTTATTATTTTAATAATTATAGAAACTAAATTGTATTTATAATTGTTTCTTTCACTGAATTTCATGCAGATTTAGATAGTACTATATCAATGTAACAATTTATATCACAGTCGTTCAGTAAATACATATATCAGTCCATATAGGTTTCCTCATTAGCATTTTAAAATGGAATCAAATGATATTAATTTAGATAAAGCTGTTCACTAAAGAATTACAGAACAATTCATTTAATAAATTACAAAACAGAAAACATTAAAAGAGTTGAGTGCCTAAAAGAACTTAATTATTTGATATCTGTCTTCTCAAACAAGCTAGGAAATGCACTTATACCAAATAGCAATAGCCCTCTCTAAGCAGTTTACAGAGCCAGCATATTGCCCCCAACAATCTGGATCCTCATTTTACTGATCTCGGAAGGATGCAAGGCTGAGTCAACCTTGAACCAGTCAGAAATGAAGAAATTGAACTCCTAGCAGTGAGCAGAGTTAATCTGCAATATTGCTTTCTAATCATTGTGCCACCATGGCACATCAATGTTGTATCCATTTTAAAGATAAAATTGACTTTCTTCCTTTTTTATAGCTTTCAAAATATATCCTAAAATTCCTAAATGAATCTGATGCGTTACAGATTATGGTGTGCATTATCTTGAAAAGTTAGTGAAGTTATTTTTGATGTGGTATTCACTTCTAGGAAATACATTTATCTATTAAAAATGATAAATGTAATCCCTGTGGCCTTGCAACTATGTAAATTGGCCTTACTGTTTCTTAGTCTTATCAGTGAATAAGCGGCCACAGATAACAATACTGTTTTGAAACATTAGAGACAAAATCAATATCCCTGCTCCAGCGGGAAGCTTGTTTAAATGTTTAAATTTAGATTTAAACACTTAATGCCCTCGCCTGAAGTAATGGGTTGTTTTTTAAAAGCAAATTGTTCCAGGACCAATGCAAATTATGCTGCATTATCTGGTTGCCAATCAAAGAAGGAGTTAAATGACTAAGAATTCCTACATTAAAAGCAGTGAGAAGCAAATACATTTGAAAATAATGTATTTGTCTATTTATGGAGATTCTCAAGTCATCCAGGTCATGATTGTCGCAAAGGTGCTTTGTCAAGAGGCAACCGGATTTTCTGGTTTTTCTTTAAAGACGTTTTGCTTCTCATCCAAAAAGCTTCTTCAGCTCTGACTGGATGGTAGAGAATGTCAGAGCTGAAGAAGCTTCTTGGATGGGAAGTGAAATGTCTTAAAAGAAAAACCAGACGGTCTGGCTGCCTCTTGGAAAAGAACCTTTGGGAAAATCTTTTTTTTATATACCATATGTTCCTTATATGCTGGATTAATATCCTGGTAGAGAGACAGTATGGTCCAGTGGTAAGAATGCCTAGGAAGAGAGAGTATCTGAACTCTAGTCCCTGTTAGGCACAAAGGCAGTTGGGTGACCTGGGCCAGTCACTTTTTCCTGAGCCCTAGTAGGTGGCAACAGCAAACAACTTTCAAAATCTTGCCAAGAGAACTGCAAGGCTTGTCTAAGCAGTTGACAGGAGTCAACAGTGACTTGAAGGCACACACACAAAAATGTAGCAGCAGAAGCCATAGCAAAACTCCAATGTACATTTATCAAGGAAGTATAGGTTTTAGCCATAAGCATAGTGATGTACCTTCCTGCATGGCTGATGGAAGCAAAAATAACGCCAGACTATAAAACTGGTTTGTTCCTTTCTTCTTGTGTGTTTATTTCCCAGTCTAACTTTCATCCCTGATGTTCCCTGGTTGTTGCCCATCTGGTCTGATCTTGCTTAGCTTCCAAGCTGAATCAAGGTCAGACAGGTGGTATCACCTGCTGAACAACATGGCATGATTTCTCTCTAGATTGGCCTCTAATTATTAGCTATAACTGACAGGTTATGTTGTTCCCTTTACCAATTCTGACTTTATTACTGAATGTGCCTTTTTATTTATGCCTTTCAGGCTCCAAGTCATGTGTATGGTGGACATAGCAGTCATGTAACCAATGTAGATTTTCTATATGAAGATACTCATCTCATCTCCACCGGTGGAAAAGATACTAGTATTATGCAATGGCGAGTTATTTAGGAGAATTCTTGCATGAAGCTATATGCAAACAAGAACTGGCCTTGCATCACAGTTCTGTACAAGATGTATATTGAAAATTTAACAGTATGGTTACTGTCTAGCCCTAGTCACTGTGATTTTGAAATTTTGAAATCCTTACAAACCTCAGGAAATTTAAGTCCTTGGCTACTTACCATAATTATTTTGGTTATTCATTAAGTATCACCTCAAAAAGCAATTATCATCTCTTTGTTGTATATTAGATGAAGAAATTCAAGTTTAAAATGAAGTCATGGCTTGAATATTTATGCAATATAAATGAAAAAAAATCTATTAAATAGTCACCAAAAAGCTTATTCTAATATTACACATGGCCGCTTTGCTGTTTATCAGCTCTGTACTGTCTTAATTACATTGTCGGAATATCAACAATTGCATAAATGATGGTACATCTATTTCTAATTAACAGTGAAGAAAGCAGACAGAAATTTTAGACCAAGATGAGATAAGTAAACAACCATTAAACACTGCTGTTGTGTGTTGTTCATTTCAGTGGAACCTTCATAGGTTGCCTGTGAAATGAAATAAAAGGTTCAAACAACATTTTTGGCCAATTTGCTACTAGAGTTATAAACTCTTTAAAAGAGTAAATGTGAAAATTAGAATGTTCATTTATTTGCAGCTAAAGAATTGATTTCAGTAAGATTAACACTGTTGGATTGTGCTTTGATTTCATTCTCTGAAATTATACATAATTATACATAATACTACATACTACTGTATCTATGCTGCAGAGATCCAGATGAACACCAGATGGCAGCAAGGAGATGAAATATTTTTTTTCCTGCCATAAAGTTGAATGGAAGGGGGGAAAGTGCTTATGTAGATTTTTACAGCACAGATGTGGTGATCCTAAATATGGACTACCAGTTTTAACTTGAATATACAAGCAGGAATTAAAGTTCCAACTTAAATTGAAAAAAAAATATGAACATTTCTTACAAATAACCTGTCTGATCCCTTCTCAGATGTTTGGTTAATAGAGGAAATCATTCTGTATGTTGATCAGCATGAATGTTTATACATGTATAAAAATGTTAGAAGTTCATAAGAAATTGTGAGTCATTCAAAGCTTTACTTGTCTTTTGCTTATGGATATTGTATATTTGTATTTTAAGATCCAGTAGATCATGTATAAAGAGATCTTTTTAAGCTTACTATAAACCAGCAGAGGAAATGGGAAAATAAACATGTGAACCATTAAGAAAATTTTTTTGGCCCCTGGGGCAAATACGTTTGTTGTATTTAAAGATGTCAGTGCAACAGTGTTCAGTTCAAGAGGTCTGTGTCCCATTGCAAAGGATGCCTGATATCAAATCATGTAATGCAGCCACTTGATAAAACATATTTGGTAATGCCTTGCATAATAATGAACAATTTGCCCTTTTTTTTTGCTCAAGTGTTTCATGGATTGGTATTTATAGTATAAGAAGAGACTGTTTTGCAATGAAGTAAGACTAGAAATAGCATAAAGTAGCTCATGTGGCAGATTAACGCGTTTTGATTGTTTAACCAGTTACAATTTTCTGTTTATATGGGGGAAATCTATCTAAATACTTGAAATGAACAGAATTATAAATAGGCTCTGAAAAGCTAAATAATAAAAGGCCTTTTTCCTCAAATGGAAAGGAAACTTTAAGCTCTGGTTTTTAGAGGCTGCAGTTTTAATAAATTGGAAGCCTTCTAAATTACATATCTGACATGCTATGTTGAAATTGCAGGACACTAATAAACATCAGTGTAGTGTTTGATTGAAATTATACTTTTCAATATGAATTGAGTTTGATATTGAAACTTTTAATGTATTATACAGGAATAGAACTTTCCAAAGCAATCTGAATCTACATGAACTTTGCCTTTGTATTTGTATTTCTAAGTATTAGCTTTTATACAGAGAAGGTGAAATCAGTTCATCAGTGCTGGATTTCTATATACAAAATTCATTGATAGAATTTATTTGTTGCAACATGTGTTTAAGCACTTGAAATAAATTGTAGTGAATATTAAATATATGAAAATTTGTATCAAAGCATTTAAACTCAGTAAAACAAAATCAGTGCTAGATAAAATAATACTTTAGAAATCAAAAGTAGAAAAAAATCAGAACAATTCTAAAGTTAGGAAAATATACTGAAAAATACAAAGTAAAAATAAAATAACTGTCTTAAAATGTTTGTTCATATATCTCTGAAATAGTTTTTAATAAACATTTTTCAAATGGATAGTATAATCATAACAATGAATTTACCCAGTCAAGTTAGTAAGATGTGAATCATGGTTATCACCTGTGAATAATTTCTCTTCTACCCCTGAAAGCTCCCTTATCTGGCTTCATCAAATTGATCAGGATTGTAGGGTCTTGCTGGCAAAAGAGTCCTGACCACTCTTCGTATGTGTACATTATAAATGACTAGTATATTTGTTTTGTTTTAATCTAATACTATAAAAACAAAAGTCTTGTCAGGATGTGTTTCACTTAGGATTACTAAAGATAAGCTCATGAGTTGTTAAATTCTACTATCAGTGTAACAATAGTTCTGCTGGATCAGTTCATAGAATCAACCATATTGTTTTTCACAGTGGCCACCCATTTACATCTAGGTACTCTCAAGCAAGGCCTTCCAACTCTGTTCCTTTGCAACTGGTATTCCTTTGTAATTAGTGGAAGGCACTGCTAATATTTAATAGGTTTCTCTTCCATGAATGTATCAAGTGAGTAGCCGTTACCATGCCATGTGATGAATTCGACACCTTAATTATATGTTGTGTGAAGAAATAATCAGGTGTAATTGTATCATAGATTGGTACAAGAGCACTACAATATGGCAGTTCCTTCTTCTATCACTTTTCTCAAGACCATGACCTCAAAAGCTGAGACCTCACCAATATATACATAAAGGACACAGTTTGCCTCAAAGTGCATCACTTAGTTTCCAGAGATCTTCTGGAGCCATTCAAAGTTGCCTTTGATTTTCCAATCAATCCAATCAAGTAAGGAGGATGGAATCAATGTTAAAAATTGCTACAAGAGCCTTTTTCCATACCAGCTGTTGATTTTAGGCATTCTGCAAAAAGATCAGGGAGAATTTACTCTGTTTATTAAGTATTGTACCTTTAAAATATGTAGTGCCCTTAAAACTGCTCCATTTATAGTGAGCTAGCTTTGGCAGATTGACTCAGAGCACACACGTGGGTTAAGTTGAGAGATAGACATCAACATGCCATTCTAAACTACATGTTTAATTTACATAAAAGAATGGCATATTTCACAAATCTTTATGACACCCCCTCCTCTAGACATTCCTGCACACCTCTGAATTGGGCATTTCACGTGTGTGTTTTTTCCTGAATTGTGTAAAATATTTTTGAAGTCTTCTGAGCTACAGACGGTCATCTTTTGCAATCTCTGGTTTGCAATCTCTGGTTTACATGTTATAGACCATGTAAGCATGATCTTGTGGCACTTTAAAGGCTTGGGCCAGTTGTCACCTGGAAGACACTTGACTCCATCCTAAACATTTCTTCTTTGATCCTATGTAAGAGCTACTTAGAAGAGACTCTTCCATTCAGCAAATGGAAACTATTTCTCCACTAACACCAACTGCTGCCATCTCTTAAAAGAGTCGTTCACCCTGACATACAAGAATAAACCCATTCAACTGAAGGATATTTACTTCAGAATACACTTTGTTCCCCTTTTCTGCCAAAAGCATTAGTGGATTGTATACATTATATGTACACACTTAACAATTCAGGACAATATTTTAACTGTTAGATCAACTGGACAATATCTATTGAAAATACAAATTGTTGCATTTAAAATGCTTAAAAGTTTGTAACTACATTACAGCAAGTAGGCTGCACTATACTGGTATTACAAGTTTGGGCTCTATTATGTTCAATGCTGGGGCAAAGAAAGAACCTTTACCGATTGGAACTACTACTGATTTTGAAGCGGCTTCAGCTCCAATGGATTCCCAGCCATAGTGTTTGGTTTTGAGGTAAATTATACACCAACTCGTAAGTCACAGGGACAGACTGGAGAAACCTACACAGCATACATAGAGCATCACATTTTGTATCGGTTTTAAGGAATAAAAAACAACGGTAAGAACCCACGAAAATTTGCGCACACACAAACTACATTTAATAGGGTACCTCAAAATTCTGCGCTAATTGCACTGAAAATTCCAGCGGGGGAGCCGCGACTCCTTTTTCAAAGGAGCAACCGGCAGAGACCTACAAGGCGAAGCGCGCCCGCACCTTGTTCGCACTGACAGGCGCGTGCGCGCTTGCCGGTGTTTGTGTTGCAGAAACGTTCCGCTTGCGTTCTCCACTTTGCGCGTGCTTGGATGGGCTTGCCTGGCCCGCGGTGCTCGTGAGAGCTGCAGCAGCAGCAGCAGACAGACTGGCGGAAGTGTCTCTCGGCAGCAGTGGGCAGCAGAGCCCCGCGGGCTTTGTGCGCCTCCTCCTCCTCCTCCTCCTCCTCCCTCTCCTCCTCCCTCGCCAGCGATTTGTCCCACGCCCACTCTTGCCTCGCCACATCCCGGGAAAACGGCGGGGGGAGATGGCCGGGGCCCTGGACCAGCTGCCAGGCGCCGAGGAGTGGCTCCCCAGCTAGCGCCCTTGGCCGCGGGGGTGGGGGGGAGGTAAGAAGATGCCACTGCCTGCGAGCTGGAGGAGCCGAGCGAGGCGGCAGAATTGAAGAGCAGATGCAAGAGCGAAGTCGCCAGCGCTCGGCGGGCTTTTCTTCCTCCTCTCGGGCGCTCCTCCATTGAGCATCTGACAGCCAGAATAGCAGCTGCTGCCGCTTTTTTGCTGCAGGAGCGTCGCCGAATCCCGGGCCGGGGCGGGGAAACTTCCCGCTGTGCGGTGGGGGGAAAGGCGGCTAGCTAGAAACGGCTGCGCAAAGCTCAGCTGCGGGGAAAATGAGGTGAGTCGGCCGAGCCTGAGGCGCGGGTGTTCGAGCTCTCTTTCTTCTTCTCCTCCTCCTCGGGGGAAGGAGGGTTGGCGCTTTCACCTGGCAGCGGGCAGGTGCAAGTAACACTGGTTCTGCCCTTCAGAGGAGTATGCGCGGAGTGGTGTAAGAGCGGGATTCTTGGGTCTGCCTCTAGCAAGGACACGTGTGCATTGCAGTCTCGAATCCTCTTCGCCTCTGGCCTAGAATTTCCAGAGAGCTTCAGTCTAGGCGGAATTGAGCCTTCTGTATCCGCTTCCATGGAGAACATGAATAGAACTGCCAACTCTCTCTTTTTAATTAGCCATTGCTCCCGTGCTCTGTAATAGCGGCGGGATCCGCAGCTGTGAGAGACAAAAAGAATCCTTTGTGACATCCCCGTGGCCAACAGGGTATGGTGGGGTGGGGGTGGGGGGATACCTGCATCTTGTCGAATTGTCTTATCTAGTTCATTAAAGTCTCAGTACGGTAAATCCGAAGGCCCTACCAAGTGATGTGTTTTGCGGGTGTGACAGGTTCACAGCGCTCTAGAATTTGTCAAGCATTTGCCGATGGCTGGCCTTCTTTCTCTGGTATGGTGCAAACGTTTACTTAGATGTCTTGGTGATTTCTGCAGAGCTGTGGAAAAAGTGTTGTGTGTTTTTTTTCTGGTCTGTTGCCAGCCTGAAAACTTAAATCTGTTGTGAGTTGCATCTGATCACATATACTTTTATGTTCTCAAAACTAAGGTCCTTCATTTCATGTACTTAGCACATAACCCAATCCTTTGGAGGATGGGCATTGTTCAGAGTTGGTGAAACAGTGTATTTCCCCTTCAGGTAATTCAGCTTTACTGGGAGTGCAAATAGTGGCCTCAAAGAATAGCAACAAAATCGTGGCAGCTGGCATTAAGAGGAATGACTTTTAAGTGGCCATCAGGCTTGGAGCCTGTCCTAGAAATGTAAAACCTTTCATTTTGTGTAGTTTCTTCCCTTCAGTGAAAGAAAGATTATTGGGTCCTTCAGTCTTTCAGCAAATGAAGAGATGGATGCAATGCTTGCGAGTGGTTTAGCATCATGTCTTAAGTTACTACGACAGATTGCTTGAGTTTATACTAACAATTTAGTATTTTTTAAAATCTAATTTGTTGAAAAAACTGTAATAACTTGTTTGCCTACTGTATTGTAATCAGGAAGATCATATGTCCTGTTTAGCCCAAAATAAAATAACCCCATAGCATGCTTTTAGGTAAACAAGTCAGTGCTGAGCAGCTAACTAGCTGTGGCAGTTTTACATGGAGAGAACAATTTTTTTGATGGTTCTGTCAGGTGGTCCATGGGGCGGAATTGTTGACATTAAGTTTCTTTACCAACCCCAGTTTGGAACAGCCCAAATAATAGTTGACCAGCACTGGTGGAGATGGAATTGCATAAGGATCACACAACAGTCTCTGTTTGAACTTCTTAGCACATTTCGCTCCCGCTTCTTCTACCTCTTGTTTTGATTGTTTTCAAAAAATAAATTCCATGTTCTTCCGGGGTGGGGGAGGTACATCACAAACAGCAGAAAAGAGTGGGGTTGTGTCATCCCCACCAAGCTGTTGTTTTGAGCTAATTGCACTAATTGGCCTACAGCAGGTCTGGGCTATAGGAAGCTGTTTCCATCCCATCTTCTCCAGACTTGAAGAGATTGCAGGTGAAAGTGGAGGGCAGGTTCTGAGAGGTGGCTAAACTTATGGATTTAGCCATGTGTCAAACCTATCATTAGTTGGATCAATGTTGCGATTGATAGATGTTTTCCCTCCAGCTGATAATATTAAGAAGTGGGGAGGAGAAAGCAGCCTTCCCTACATGGAAAATGAGAACATCATCTTCTGACTATAAGCCAGAACAGAGGCAGTTAGAATTAACAGTGGGAAAAGCTTTAAAGTTTAGGTTTCTGATGATTCACAGATGGGAGCAAAGCATTAAACTGAGTTGTGGGAAAGAGCTCTTTGTGTATGTAATTAATAAAGAGACCTCTCAGTTCTCATGCATGTGATTTTAGTATTGCCCAGCATACATAAATTATTTTATCGATCAGCTGTTCAGTGGGGAGGGGAAGCGAAGGGAACAATGAAAATAGGCTTTTATATTTCAATGATTATGGAATGGTTCATGTAGAGAAAACAGAATATATGCATGGCAACAGAGGCAGGGAAAATGTACTGCTTCCTTCTGTTGCCATGAATGTGGGTGTGCCTTTCCTTCATCACTGTTGCCATGCATTAACTGACAGTGCTAAGACTACTTCCTTTATCTCTTGGAAGGTAATTCATTGAAATTGTGTATCTGTTTCTCTGCCTTTTGTAGTGTATGTCCTGCATTTTCCTTTGTATTTGAGAATATGTGTGGTTTTGAGCTAGGAAGAAAAGATTTCTTCATTGCATTTTCTCATTTTATGATGTAAAATAGATGGGGAGTTTAAGCTTTATATACTATGTATGTCTTCCAGGAGCAATTCAGGTAGATGACATTGTTAGGTACCAACCAAGATATAGCTTCTAGCACTGAACTAAATGATGATCCTTCAAATGCTGCTAATCTTCTGATCTTCTCATTATTCTTCCAAAGCTGCTTTCTGGAAATATAAACAGCTATTAGAGCAATCTTTACACAACCTCCTGATGTACTGAATATCTTCTTGGACTATGGGGCAGATTGGGTGCAGCGGAAAAAAGAACATGTGATATGCTGAGTGATATACTGAGCCACCTACAGTATGTTCTCTACTATTGGAAGCAATGATACCGCATAGGAAGAGATGGGACTATTAAGAAAAGCTGTTCCACTGAGGATTTCTGGTCCAGGGTCTGTAATGAGGTCTGTAATTAAGGTCCTATATATTATGATGGTGATCTTTATTTGCTTATACAGGTGCTTGTTTCTGGATTTATGTTATTGTTATATTTTTCACCAATGGCACAACAGTCTCTGCATTTTTTTTTCTTAGCACATAGAGAATAAATGGCACAAAAATCCTGATTGTTATTGTTGTTGTTTTGAGAGTCTGCCACTTGTACAAATGAGTGAACCCAGCATCCCCCACCCCCCCATGCATTATCCAAGCACGTGCCTTTAGGAAAATTTCTGGAATATAGTTATTTTTGAAGCTTTGGGTTTTAAATGCAAACTCCGTGCAACTGGTATAATTGCTACTGTTTGTGGCACTTCATAATTTATATAGAAGCCTCTTGGGGCAAGATAAAAATGAAATGGCAGGAGAAGGTTTTGGCCTCTGTTGAATTTTGTCTATTGAGGTACCCCTTTAATTGATTCCAGGACATAATTATGACTATGATGGGAACACATTCTGAAATGTCAGAATGTTCTGCAGCTGCTTGCTAGGCACAGGTTATTTATTAGACAGGAACTGGACATGCCAGGAATAAAGGACACTGAACTATCATTGTGTCTCTCAGTCCTTCAATGGGGTGAATAGATATCATGTGAGTGGATGGTATGTTTGGGCATGATTGCCCATCATTACTTACATTGGTATGACAGAGTATGCCAGGGTTTATTAAAAGCTGCAGACACCACCAGAAAATAGTGCACTGATATGGAACTCCATAGACTACATATGTGTGTATAATGTGTAAGTCTTGTCTTTTGCTGCCTCTGACAGTAAGTGAGCTAATTAGACTGCCTCTCAAAGGTCTCATTTTACCCATGTCTTCTAGGAGTAATGGTCAGCAGAATGCTTAAAAAGTCATTTGGTAGAGAAAGGAAAATATTTATTATTTTCATGAGCATCCACTGAAGACTGGCTTACTTAGTGCATAGGAGACAAACCTTGTTTTTTCTGATCACAAAATAGCTGACCTCTTATATTCGTGCATGTGAAGGCTTTTTCTTCTTTTTATAGACTCTAAAGCTGGCTCTGTAATATTGACAGAGGGTTCACAATCTTGGCAAGCCTTGATAGCCAGGCATTGTCTCTAGTTGCCACCAACTGTTTTCCTTTCCTAGATCTCCTGGCATACACAGAGAAGGCAGTGTTTTAACTTCATCCTTACTGAGAATGATACACTGTGTGAAGGCAAAAAGCAAACTGTTTTTCTTTTAATATACAGTAAAAGAGGATGGATCTGGACTGAGTTCCTACAGTGCTAAGCCATGATATATTAACAGAATAGAGAACAGAGTTGGAAGGGACCTTGGAGGTCTTTGGGTCCAATCTTCTACTCAAAGCAGGAAATCCTATACCATGTCAGACAAAAGAGTTGTCCAATCTCTTCTTAAAAGCGTCCAGTGTTGGAGAACCCACAATTTCTAGAGGCAAGTCTTTCCACTGATTAATTATTCTAACTAACAGGATTTTTCTCCTTAGTTCTAGGTTGCTTCTCTCCTTGATTATTTCCCATCCATTACTTCTTGTCCAGCCTTCATGTGCTTTGCAAAATAGGGTGGCCGCCCTCTTCTTTGTGGTAGCCCTTTAGATATTGGAACACTCCTATCTGACATTGCTAGTCCTTCTTTTCATTAAACTAGACATAACCAATTTTTGAAACCATTCTTCATATGTTTTATCCCCCAGTCCCCTAATCTTTGTTGCTCTTCTCTGCACTCTTTCTAGAGCCTCAACATCTTTTTTATATCATGGCGCCCAAAACTGGATGCAGTATTCTAAGTGTGATTTTACCTAAGCTTTATAAAGCGCTCCTAACACTTCACTTGATCTTGATTCTAGCCCTCTGTTAATGCAGCCTAGGACCGTGTTGGCGTTTTTTTGGCAGCTGCAGCACACTGCTGGCTCTTATTTAAGTGACCGTCCACTAGGAGTCCGAGATCCCTCTTACAATTACTACCTGTACATTTGTTT